CGAACCTCCCCTTAGGGCACTAGAAGAGACGCAGCAAGAGCAGGTAGACGAAGGAGGGGGGGAGAGGAACACGAGAGGCGAATAAGCTATGGCAGCTGCAAGAAAACAAGTACAAGAGAAAGAGAAAGAGAGAGAGAGGAGAGGAGAGGAGAGAGAAAAGGGGGTCGGGTGGAATACGGAGCTGGTGGGAGAGTAATAATCCCGCCGTCTGGAACGGTAAACTGCGCACGCTGCCTCACGAGCGAGCGAGCGAGCGCGCGCGCGCGCGCCTCTTTACGAAACGACGCATCTGAAAACTCCGAACTCCGTCCTCAACAATTCATAGCGAGTTAATTATCCTACCGCTCGTGCGCGATCGACGTCACCTATATCTTTTGCTACCCCCTATATCGGTATCTCGGTACTAATAATAAACTCTCAGACTGGACGCGAACACAGGGCGACGGGATCATAGCCGCGGTCGCCGCCGGGGATTGCGCATCACAACACGTCATTGAATTTCCGTTTTCAACCGAAGGACGGAGTGTAGCAGTGCCGTTTCAAACGGACGGACGGACGGACGGACGGACGGCCGCGGAAGTGATCATGTTACGATACTGTCGGTCATTTTGTAATCGCGTGTAAAGGAAAGCGCGGGAGTACGATCATGTTCGTCGCGCGACACCACCTCGCTTTTCTTTAACGTTGATCCGCCGTTGCGCCGCGCCGCGAGATAAGGGGCACCGATCTCCTCACCCCCATCATCGCCATGCCGCCCCGACGACGCGCCGAGATCCAAGAAAGCGCGCGTATTTAATTGACTTTACCTACCGTTGAACATTGAAAACGTTTACCGATTCGAAAGGTTTTAACTCGAAATCTTTGTGCCTCGAGCCGCCGCGCCCGCGTGTAGTGTCTCGCGCGCCTCTCGAAAGTCTCGAATCTTCCCTCTTGTGTGCTCCGCTTTTTGACATACATATGAGCCGGTCGCGGTCATTCGTGCGACTGCCGAAGCCGAAAGAGCGAGAGCGCCCGCCTGCCCGCCCTCTCGAATCGGCGACTCGATCGAGAAAGATCGCCGAACTCCGGGCTAACTCGATAAAAATCGCAAATCGGTGGTGGTGCGTGCGTATCGATGCGTACTATACCGCCCGCGACCGGCCAATGATCGCTGATGGTACGCGATACGCGATGTTCGTATCCCCGATCACGGCGCCCGACGGGATCGTACATCCGAGGATAAACCGATGTTGATAACAATGTCCGTAAGTATGCCGCAGTACACCTTTTACCTACGTTCAACGTGTTAATCGCGCGCGAAAAAAAGTTAAATGGGAAAATGAGCCTCGCGTGTCGCGTGTCTATTGTAATTTGAATGAACTTGGCGGAGATTTGATAAAGCGCGACCCGAGTGTTGGGGGATATGTTGACGTATATATAGAGTCTTCCACCCCCGCTCGTTAACGACTCCAAGTTTATTGCTTATCTGTTTCGCAGATTGCGAAAATAAATAATTCGATTGTATCACGATTTTCAGGAATTTAAATTTTCTGCAAAAAATAAGATCTATAAGGACGGCGCTGTGGAGCTGTTGCAAAATTTCGGTACGTGTTTTGTAATAACAATAATCAGCTGTAACATAGACTAATACTAATTTTATAAAGTATAATTCTGTAAAACGGACTGACGTATATAAATATGACCACCATCTTCTTACGTCACCGATATTGAACGATATATTTTTGAAAAATTTAAAAAAATTATATATTTTTATATTTATATGTACCGCCCTGTTAAGGAAGAGTGCCGTATCCGCAAAAATTCATTCATATTCTGAGTTATATATAGATTCTAATATTTTTCACCTCGAGGATTTCACTGCAAAAAATCGTATCTGCAATCTGCAACCGTTATTGAGATATAATGGTATCACTTGCCGTATCTGCTTTCAAATAGGCAGTTTTGTGATGAGTAAACACACGTATATGCTAACCAAAAATGCAGTATCTGCTTTTTTTATATGTTACAATGTAAATATTGTAATTTTAGCTTCATAAAATAATTTCAAGAAGTATTTTATTTTAGAAAAAAGTTAAACAATTGATATAATAGACATACATTGTGACGGCTGGATTAAAGATTTTTGAACCGTTTTTTTTTTCTTCAATTTTGGGGTTTTTGTAGATAACTCTTCCTTAGCAGGGCAGTATATTGAATACATCGATATTCTTTAATTTAAATTTTTCAATTATTATTAGCTACTTATTTTCATTTATTACTATTTAATTTAAAGATTGAAAATTTCATTAGATTTGTACAATATGTCAGTCATGAAAGAACATTATTTATGTGAATTGATCAATGTTACTGTCAATATCACCGTTACTTTTTTTTTTTGTAAAATTTATCTTCAATAAATTGGACTCAAGCTGTGCATTATATGGTACTCGTTGTACTTTCGACTTCGCTTCTGCTTCTTATCTGGAGTTAAAAAGAGCAGATCTTTTAGATCTAAAAAAGATCTGCTCTTCTTAACTAAAACTTCTTGCACACGTCAGCTTTCCTTCTTTTTTTCTCCGCGTTAAAAAGAAAAAGAGAAAAGATGAACGGTGCAAAAGAAGTCCAGCGAAAAAAATCAATCCTAAATCCTCTTAATATTGGATATCGAAATATTGGTTTCGAATATCAAAAATCTGTAATAAAATCATCTACATCCACTTTATACATGTGCCTGATAGATGTGCATATATCAATATGAATTACGATTATTGACTACGATTACACGGCTCGATTTACGCCGAAGTTATAACATCGATGTTGTAACTACTGACGTTAAATGCCGTGTAAACGGTCTTTTACGGCGAAGAACCACATCATCATAATACATCACAATAAATGTCATTGCACGTAACAAAGTTTTAGTCACAATCGTAAGGCTGTAAGAAAATAGACCACGCACAATCGATTATTCTTCGAGCTCAAAGAGAATAATAGAGTGTAATTGGTCAATTTTCTTACGCCCTTACGATTATAACTTAAAACTTTGTTACGTGCAATGGCCTTGACTTCGTCGTGAAAGAGCGTTTACACGGCATTTAACGTCAGTAGTTGTAATATCGATGTTATAATTTCGGCGTAAATCGAGCCGTGTAATCGTAGTCATTGTCTTGAATATATTTATCGCTATTTTGTATGAATATATAAGGTTTATTCTCTCTTCCGATTTTTTCATTGATTTTCTGACATTCCCTTTTTACGATTCTTTGATAGCATTATACTTTATAACGATTACGAGTATTACTCTATGTTACTCTGTGTTATTTTGCGAACTATTATAATTTTGTAATAAACTTTTATGGACGTCGGTCCAGCGATGTAATTTATATGTTTCTGTTGTTTTGCACAAAGAAGCCTGTGTCTCTCTTTTTTACCATTTCATTACGTGTGCCTCCTTGTAAATGTTAATAAAAGTTGCAGTATGAAAGAGACGATCTAATAAATTATGAAATTACGATTATCATCAACAGCGACAGCGTCTGATCTCGTTGCGAATTATTCAAGCGCTTTTTCAGCAACACATCCCTTTTCCTTTCGCATATATCTATCTCCTATTTCTTTAAATCAAGATTAACATTTAAAAATATTTCATATAATCTTTGATACATCACGCAAATACGTATGTCACTTACTTAGAGCGTCATATTACCAAGCATTAGCATTATCTTCGACTCTCGTTCATTTTCATCAACTCTCGTTCGACAGAAACGTGCGCGAGAGCGCACTTAGGAAATGAAAATCCGTCTATACCCAGGTAGCAATTAAATGTCTAAAAGACATCGTAAAGACATCTTTAAGATTTCTGGCATCTTAAAAACATCTTTATGGATGTCTTTTAGACATTAATGCTACCTGGGGTATGGCCGTTTCGGCGCCGAGCCGCGCGAGCGAGCGGATCTCGCGTCGGCTGTATAGGTTAGGAATTTGTAAACAGGCGGCAAGAAGAGAGCGCGCGCGTAATCGTACGCGCAATAAACACCCGACGTCGCGTGACGACTGTGACGAGGATCGAGACGTTTCATCGCGAACTCCGGTTTCTACTTCTTCGCGCGCCGGTATAGAGAACTCTCGTCGACGAGAGCACGTCACCGCGAGCAGCGTGACAATCGCCATTCTGCCGTATTACTTTAACGGAGTAAACGCGCATTATTGTCCGTCTCAGTTTCTCTCAGAAGTCAGAACATTTCGGGGCAAGGGCAACTAGGGCAAGCAACATGAACGAGCGGTTCACGAACTTTGCTTGTCCCGAAGTCCTTTGTCTTTTTCTTCGTTTCTTTACAAATTTTACAATGGATACGTCCCCCCTCTCAAGACCGTACTTTTGTACCTTGGGTGTCAACGAACTTGAAGCCTATAATCTCCGTATGTTTTTTTCTCGGATCTCGGGACCGGGGACGGGAAGAGAGCGATCGATCCACACAGTTAAAATTCGGTCGGTCGGCAAGAGAATTCTGGCGCTCCGCGAGCACTTTTTTTCCGAAGGGGAAGCTTACGGAACTCGCCGCGCGGCGGCGTCGCGCGCGAAGCACGCTGCTGCAACAAGCTGCCAACAACGCTGCCGCACGCCGCCGGACCGATCGACCAATCGGCGGCGGGAAATCCGCGCGCCGATACGAAAGCGGCCAATGCGGCGCGCGCTTTAGCCCGCGTATCGATTGGCGAGTCGTGTTTTCAATTCTCGGGACGAAAGTGGCCGAGGCCCGAGACTCGAGAGCGGCGGCGGCAATTATTCTCCGGCGTCGGCCATTTTGCGCGAGAGTACTTCCGTACCGCCGCGCCGATCACCGTCGCGCGTGCAGATCGCGCGCGTCGATTTGTTTACGCCGCCTCATGTAAATAAATATATATATATATATATATATATACATATGTGTATGTACACAACCGGGTAGCCGCGCCGTGTCGGTGTGAAAAGCGTCTCCTCCCCCACGATCCGCCGTCCGCTCCGCGTCACGACGTGAGTGCGCGCTCGCGCATAATCGTGGTCAAGTCGAGACTGTCGGGGTGTCGAGAGGCCAAAGGCAGAGCCTCTCGAGCCTCGAGTCGCGAACGGCCGATTTGACACTGGTGACGGAAAACGGTATAAGACGTGGGTGACCTCGTTCGACAACGTCTCGCGGACGAAGAGGCCGTTTCAGTTTACCTTGTCGACGTGCCATCTCGGTACGTTTACTGTCTGAATCTCTCTCTAGCTCTCTCTCTCTCTCTCTCTCTCGCTCTCTTCTATGTCTCTTTTGTGTGTCCTCCGTGCGCGTCCGTCTGTCTCTCTCTCTCTTTCTCTTTCTCTCCCTACTCCGCAAGGGAACGATGTAACTTCTGCGCACCAAACAAACTTTACACGCACGTAAGCGTGACGGTGTGTGTGCGCGCGGTGTAATGAAATAGAAATACAGGCGCGCGAATACGACACGGGAAGATGTAACCTTCTTGGCGGGGAAGGTGGATAGAGTGACCGGGATCCATGCGTTCTGTTTCAGACGTGAGTGAGGGCACTCCCAAATCGTCGGACGACAGCCTGAGTGGTCAGCAACTGGTGGATTGCGACATTTGCGGCGAGCGTTTCACCTCGAAGAAGCCGCTGCGCATCCACATTAACACCCACCTGAGAAAACTGCGTATTGTCCTCAAGAGAGTGGCAAACCCGAAAGTGGTAAAGGTGAAGAAGGACACGTACTGGTTGGATCCCGAGAAGACTGGCTCGTTGAAGCTGACCCTGAAGAAGCAAAGCGTAGCCGATTCCTTGAAGCTCACCCTGAAGAAATCCTCGGAATCGGAAGATTTCACCGTAGTGAACAACAATTTTTACCCGGTCATTAAGTACTATCAGGAGAGAGACGTGGCAGGTGCTAAGGAAAATGATCCGAGAGGCGACAAGGCAGCGGAGAACTCGATCAACGAACCTTTTGAGAACGTGATGGTGGATCAACAAGTGAGTCTTTCTTTAGACGGTGCGGTGTTGAAGCTCAAGATCTTTTCATTTTTTGTTTTTCTGTGATCTTATTTGCAGGATGATTACGACAGCGCCAAGTTGGACACCGACCCTCACAATCCTCTGGAAGAGAATGAAAGACCGTCCGCAGATGTCAACGAGAGTGACTCTGATGTAGGGAGTGATATGGCAAATCCGTCTGAGAAGGACGATCAGAATGTCGATGATACACAAAGTACCGATAACTTTGACAATTCCGAGAAAAGGCTTTCGGAAACCGAAGATCACGAGGAAACAGATGCTTTGGAAGCGACCTGCAGGGAAACTATTGAAAACTTGAAAAAACTCGGCGAACAGTCGAGGTAGGTTGATAGATTGCGATATTTAATTGAGATGGGAATCCTCTTATTTAAGATTTATTATAATAGATGAGAATGCTAGAGTAGAATCAAGAAGGAAACGTGAAAATTACAAATTAACTTTATTTAGATTATTGCAAAGCTTCTAATATAATTGTTTAGCTTGTGTAAATATTTGGTAGCATTCACATTTAAACTGTTCATATTTCAGTCGCGATATCTTTCTGGATTTAGTTTTTTTATAGCTCTAGGTCAGCTAGTCAACTGGTCGACAGTTCATCGGTGGAAGAAGAAGATGACAGAAGCCACGAAGCCAGCATGATACATAATCTCGAGCAGAATCCTTCCATCAGCATTAATCCGAAGTCTTTCACATTTTCTAATCATGCAACCGAACGCGACAATGAAGATAAGAACAGGGAGTCAACTGACGCATCACAGACACAAGGTTTCAACTGGAATCAACTGTCCGCCGATTTATCAAACAAGAGCAATGAAGATTTCAACAAGGAAGATAGCGAACACCAGGGAGATAACGATGCGAACATGGACAACGCTGGATCAATTTTGCAGAGTTTTCTCATCGAACATCAGAGGCGTAATCCGAACGAGGTGTCGTTGTCGAATAATATGTCGTCCGGCGAAACGGCAGAATATGTGCCCCTTGAGAAATTGGCGGAGACTGTCAATACATGTCGTGTCTGTAATGAGAAATTCAAGGACATCGCGCATCTGGATGAGCATCGTAGCAAAGCCGGTCACTATCAGTGCAATATACCAGAATGCGCCAATCTCATCTTCCATTCAACGATGGAAGTGTCGATACATCGGGCACAAGTACACGGTACCCCACTCTCCCCGAGCGTGAGCCAATTGTCGCCTCATCATTTGCCGTCGAACACAAATACATCACATTTGGGCCAAACCACACATTCGCCTCATGCCATTTCCGTTACACCGGTGGAGGTATCATCGACAAATGGTTCACATCACCTCAGTAGGACTTCGCCCTTAACGTCGCCGCATCAGACGAATTCACCAACATATAATGCGGCGGTAGCAGCAGCGGCAGCGGGCGGTTCTACTGGCCAGCAAATGCAAATACCGCCGGTAAACTTTGAACAACTACCACCACCCGTACAACAACTGGCCCAGCAAGTGCAGCGTATGCCTCTTCCACAGACGCAAATGCCCCCTAGTCTTCCTCCAGGAGCCAACACCATGATACCTGCACCAAATTATTTCGTACAACCGCCAGGACGACCACCGTTGTACAGAGTACCTGGTCCACAAGGTATACAAGGTATACACTATCCACCGCACATGGCGCACTTGTATCAATATGGACCGAATCCATATTCTCAAATAGCGCCTCCACAAATGCATCCCCAAATGCCTCAGCCAGTTCCACGGGGGCAACGATATCCGTCGGCATCTGTTATTCAAAACAGCAGGTAATCATAGACCTCGCATACAGACACGAATATCTTCATTAGGGGGTATCTTCAATTTTCAGGGCGCCACGGTTACCACAAGCTACCGGTCCAGTTCCTCGCCAGCGTATGAAAAGGCCCCTGCAACAGACTATGCAGCAACAAAATAACGCTTCTGTCAAACAAAGGCGTATGGATGTTCTATTGCCTGATAGAAACGAAGATGCAGACTGCCATGTCATAGCTCAACAGAAGAGAAATGACGGATTGCCTGTTATTCAAAATGTTCAGGGAGCCACCACGCAGCAAACCAGTAGAAACGATTCTACGATACATCTCACAGATTCAATCACTTTAAGTGTTCGGCAACCTGGTAAGTTTATAACAAAAGGGTACTCGATTGTAATCAGCCATTTTGCTCAACCTTTATTACTGCTTACATTTTTTTATGCGCCTGTGTAAAGTGCCTCTTCTATGAAATTTGGTTCCTGATTTTATTCAATAGTATTTTCAGTTGCTTTTACAAAAGAAAAAAAAGACGTTTGTTATATTTGCAATTTTTTAATTTAATTTTAGTGAGAGCTGCTTTTTTTTAAGGTTCCTGGGCTCTCGCTGCGGTCATGTGAGATCGTAACGTCAGAGGCGAGAAATGACACGCTGAGATTTCTTGCGTGTAACTTCCAAGTAAAAAGATATACATAAAATAACACTTCAGTTCACTTCAGAAATATTCCGAGATCTACCCCTTTCCTTTCTACATAAGCCTGCATGACTAGGTTTCGTATAACATTCATTTTACGGCTGTTTATTAACCGTCAAGGGAAAGGGCTAGACTTTCGAAGTGTGCTGAAGTGATATAAAGTGTTATTTTATGCAAATATCTTTTTATTTGGAAATGGTACGCAAGAATTCTCAACGTGTCATTTCTCGCTTTGGCCGCGGCGAGTATCCAGGAGCCTTGATATCCGTTTATTGTGTTTTGTTGCATACATTTGCTGCGATTGTATATATAAAAGAACATGGATCTTTCAAAGGGAATTATTACATTACTGTATTCGCAGAAGGGGTACATTACAGTAAAATAGCGTTGTCTTTTTACTAATCTAAAGGTTCCATCCCAGCTCAAATCCAGAACACGTCAAACCAGGGGGGGAAGAAATCCGATGCCAAGGCAGTTGCAAATGTCCTCGCGGCTCGAGGTATAACCGTTACTCCAGCTGCAAATAAAAATAAGACAAGTGAACAAAACAAACAGCAAATACCCCCCCAGCAGCAGCAGAGGCCACCACCTTCACAGCAGCCTTTAAATGTTACAGCGCTCAATCTGAATTCTGCTATTTCTATCATACCAACTAGTTCACAAAGAAAGCAACAAGAACAAGGGCAGTTTGCTGTTCCGCAAAACAAGCAAAACAAATCGCCAATCAATGACCAAGTTGAGCGACCGCCGAGACCGCCGACCGTGGATCTTACGCAGGATACTCCACCACAGATACCAGTGGTTAGACGAGGTCGGCCACCCAGGTGAGAATCGTCTATATCATCGCTTGTGTTGTTACATAATTGTTATTAGATTTACTAATCGACGAATTAGCTCGAAACATAATAAGATATTTATTTTTTTCCAGAGCATTATTAACGTGTCAAGTATGCGATAAAAACTTTCAAAATTCAGATATGTTGACGCAACATATGGCGACTCATCGAACGACCAGCAAACTGCTTCACAGGTGAGTTATAATTATCTCGCTTATGAGTTTTTTTTTCCTTCGAGTAGTTCTAATTCCCTTGAACACGGGAATAGAACTGATTCCTCTTGCTTTTTAAGGTGCAACCTCTGTCCAGCTCAATATCCCACAGTTCAGGCGTTGACAACGCACAAGCAGGCTTACCATAAAGAAGTTGATACCGTGGCACAAAACGGAGGCACGGAATTGGCTTTGCCGGTCGTTGATTTAAAGTCGCCGCATGTCCTAAATCGCTTGGCAAATTTGGGTATTCAAAGCTACATACCGTTGTCGCAGCTAAGTGCTCAAACTGGTGGTTACTTCGGCTTACCGATCATCACGATAGACGGCGCGAGAAATACGAGCACCTGCAATCTGGGTGCGCTTGGTGCTACCTCCATATTAAGTCTTGGTCCTCTTAAGCATATATCAAACGGGTAACCGCGGACAAACTCGCATTTGGCCTACTCCACGTGTGCAATCACGCTCTTTGGTTATATCTTGTTCAAGTTGCTTTACTTGTTGCTGTATTGCCAATGACCATGACACATGAAGCGTCTTGATTTCTAAAGAGAAAACCGTGATATAGTTTATGATAAGTAGAGTCGTCATAAATGCAACGTTTTATACATAAAGAATATATTGAAATACGTTCTTTATATAGGAAATATATGTGACATTTATTTGTGAATTTTTTTTAATTTTATTTCAAAAAGAAAATGGTTGACGACTGACTTAGACATAAAATTTGTTAATTTATATTTGTAGACTTAAAGCAATACAGTATTCCTCGCATAAAACTTTTCTGATTAAAGTTATACTACATTTTGATAAAATAAGATTTTAAGACCCAGTTAATCTAGAAATTTAACCCTTTTGCTACGGCAGAGCGCTGGCCGAGGAAACGCTATTGTCGTACGGGAGAATCGCGAGTGTGCTTTGCCGCGGACAAAGTATTTACTTTGTAATGATGCGATCAAATTCATATCTTAACTTTATTTTACTTGTTATTGCTATAGATAAATGAACATTGTTTATAGCTTGGTTGTAATAATCCAAACAACACATGTGTCTAAGGATGCATTTTGAAATGTACTGACAATATTGATTCATTCTTGAGATCTAAAAGATGCCTTACGTCGTGTCTAAAAGATGTGTTTCAGACATCTTCAAGATGCCTTTGAGACGCTTTTGACACGTGTGTTGTTTGGAAATTTATTCTTACTTTAGTTTTGTGAGCACGGCAAATATTCGTAATAGTAGCTTAGTACTCGGTGGATATGCACTGTGGCCATTCGTAGCTAAAGGGTTAAAATATGAGGTACATAATACATCGTTACAAAAGGAATCTTAAACCATGAATTATTTTGTATATTTTTTTTTAAATAAAGATATTAAAAATAGAAAAAATTTCTCTGCTGAACTTACATGTTTTATGTGTATAAATTATTTAGCAAAAAGTAATTGCATAGCTAAGTCTTTCTTTATTATTATCGCAATGCTTTAGCTTTAAGATGTACCTAGTGAAAAATACAACTTTCTGTCATTGAAAAACTATACTGACAGTATCAAATATAAAATATTAGGTTGTACTACATAAAATTGTTGGTATTCAATCAGTTTAAAATCGACAAATGAATAAAATTTAAGATATAAGCTTGCAACAGTATTGGGATTTATAATTTTCTTTAACCATTGTATTGTTTTTATTTAATCTTTTTTATAGAACTGGATAATATGCGACGAAAGACTTATGAATATTTTTTTATTTATATTTGAAATTGCAATATAATATTGCTCAAATAGATAGAAACATTAATACGATTTTCAGAGAAAACTGTGTGAAATAAAATGTTAGTGAAATGATTATTCGGTGATGATTATACACAAATTTTACTCTGAGAATCCACATTTCGCAAATAAATCTAGATAGTCCCAATTCCTAATGCTGATGATAGTTTGATGGAATAAAACTTGTTTTTTTTTTTAAACAACATTTTTATGTTACCCAGTAAAAACAATTTGTTATGGTACAACCTAATACATGACAAAATATTTTACATGTGCAATATATACGATAAATTGTGTCTGATATATCTAATCAGACAGAATTATTTTGACAGATAAAAAAATGACACTTGAAAAGAGTATATTGATAAAATTATATCTAATATTGTTATATCCATCTTAATGGATTTACTCACTTTGACTGTTTGGGCGACGGAATTTTGAAAATAATTGAAGAAAATTAGATAGATAAAAAAATTAACATTTTTATGTTAAAAAAATATATAATTAAATATTTTTTGTATTCTTTACAAGAATACAAGAAATATTTAATTTCTTCATACAAAATGTTTACCGCCACATATCTCTGCATTTTTCATTGAGCGTAGAACTTCCAAAAATTTGATCTGAAATTGTATTACTGAAAAATCTGTATTATTTATTAGAATCTGGCAAAGACATAAATTTTAACATTTTGGCTTTCTAAAAAAGTCATGAACTTTTGGAAAGAAGAACTAATATTTTTAATGTCAAAATGTGTAATTAATTCAATCCTTAATTTCTTAAAAATATATTCTCTCAACAGTCAGGGTGGGTAGACCCTTTTAAAAAGATTACAATTCTTGAAACAAACAGCGTTGATACGTTGATGAGAAAACTATCTCTCAATTTTTTTTTTATGAGAAAAGAAAGCTTTTATTTTGCAATTGTCAAAATATCAAAACACAACTTGCTAAGTTGTACATACATTTTGTAAAAAGAAAGACAAAAGTGATTAAAAATATATTCCTTTATACTTAAGAAATGTTTTATAAAGATATCATATACGCGTCATATATCATATGTAATTTTTATTTATTATCATTCCTATTAGTTACATTGTTACATGCAAATAAGTATTTTCATTCTTTATATTATCACACTTTTTCTATATCTTCATAATATACTATTATATACTTATTCTTTACGTATATATTATATCATTCTTTATATTAATTTATACACTTTAAATAAGCAGCCATCTGTCTGTCGAATTTGTAGAAACTCATCGCGAGCGACTGATAATGAGATATTAAGATATTGTATATGTGTGTATAATAATAAAAAGAATAATGTATATATATATATATAATATATATATATATGAATATTTCCGTCGCAATCCGAATGTACAAGAACAGTTGGGCATTGTATTGTTCACCTTCATTTTTAAGCGAAAACTCTTAAAATATATTTAAATGAACACATTTAAATGATTTTGTTCCTTTGTAGTCGAATACAAAGCGAGATTCCGAGACGTTATTCAATCTCTCCTTTCACATGTCTAAAAACATTTTAGCTTTATTAGTTCCTCGAACAATTCACGCCGTTTAAAGGAGAAAAATAATATAGACATGTTACTTTTTTTATTCGACTATTTTATTGTAATTTCCCTACCTATTAGCTATAAAATCACACATCCATGATATCACTTAATATTCATCTCTTATAATTGTTCTGTACATAAATGTATTAAGGTACGGTTATTAAAAAACGAGATATTTTATATTTTATGCCAAAATGTGCTAGCATATATAAATTATAAAATATCTCGTGTAAACTATTGATTTTTTGATAACTTTAATACTTCTACATGCAGAATAACTAAAACTAAAAGAATCAAAATCATAATTTTATTTGAAAACGTGGCGATGACTTAAAAAATCGATTTTTTCGAAAATTAATTATTTGTCCCTCTTCAGACCATGCAACTTTTGTCTGAAATATTTTTGCCTACTACTGAACTCACAGAGTTTTCGAAATTTTAACTTTAAGCTCGATTCAACTTAAATTTTATCTTTTTCTAATATCCATTTTTATCAATGCAAATTAACTTTAATTTTAGTTTAATTTACTTTTTATCTTTTTCTAATTTCAAGAAGCTTATTACACTTTTAAAAGTTCTTTATGTGATGTGAAAACATCTAATTCTTAGAACTAGAAAAAGATAAAAAGTAAATTAAACCGAGATTAAAGTTTATCTGCATTGGTAAAGATAGAGAAAAATAAAAATTAAGTTGAATTAAGATTAAAGTTAATTTGTATTAGTAGAAATGGAGACACATGAAAGCCAGTCGTTATCGTCCAAATACATTTGCTCGGCGAACAAGATAACTTGGCCAGTCTGAAAGAGATATTTATGCGCGCACATGCTCGATTGTGTCCTGCGCGATAATAGACTAGGCGGAGCATATGTTCTTTATATCATTAGAGCTATCTCGCTTAACGAGAATGGAGAGGGGAAGGCGTTCATTTACATCCGAGTAAAAAATTGGACACGCTTGTCTGTTGACATGCGCGCAATTCATATTAAAACATTAATAATTAATTACTTGTTTCTTTGGATTGAATTATCAACATGTAGAATAGAATATATTATAATATGCATGCGCGCGCGCGCGCGTATGTGTAAATAGAAATAAATTTTTCCGAGTGAAATATAGTAAAATAAATTTAAAAAAATTTTTTATTAATGAAGAATCAGTCTTTTTCAAGCTACTATTATATTTTCTAACACGCTAAAAATTTAGCGTAAAACGTGTAAATTTTGCCGATTTTTACGCCTGTTTCGGCTGTTTTAGGCCTATACTTGCGGTAGCAATGGGCGCGTTTAGCAGACCAAGCCGCTCAGTAGCAGTCAAACGTGATTGGCTCTTACTTTTAGAACCAACCAATCAACGCAGAGTGTTGATAAGACGAACTCAACAGTTGTGTCTGCTGAACACGGCTAATATCTCATCTCTATTCTCTGGAGAGGACGCAAGCGCGTAGGCAAGTTTTTCAAGCTGCGCAAAGCCGACCGCTTGATGGCAGCATGCTCCCTCGTCAATATTGTCAAGTGCAGAAATCGCATCGTGCCGATCGTGGCTTCTACAACTATCCTCGATTCACACGTTTATTTCAGCGGTTAACACTTGTATTTTTGAGAATGTGATCTTTAACAATGACAGTTCACGTGTGTTCTACATTCGAGGCACTCGTCAAGCATTTATTGTTGTGATTGCCTTGTGACAGTGAAAGAATCGATAACTATTATGTCGACATAATACACGCCCGCTCCTTTTGTCATTATCCAAGTTAGTATGTATATCGGAATGTAAAATTGATAGTAGTAGATTTGCTCTTCACGTTTTATACACATCTGATGATTATACATGGTTGACTTCACCATTGACAAATTTTTATATTTCAGCCCAACAGAATGACTTCCAGCACTCTTACTGCGAGAGCGGAGGAATACTTTCACAGTATAAATCCTATAGCTCGGAGGATCGGCGAGGATATAACTGCAACGAAAGAGGCCTACGAGGGGCTATGGAACACCTTGAGTTCAGCGGAGCGCAATCAAGCCGTCAACGAGACTATAATTCAGCCCGAGGTAGCGTTGAAGTATACCTTGAAGAAGGTCGAGTTAACCAAAGAGTTACCTGAATGGTATCCGAACCTTCGCATACAAACTGGAATGAAATATGTCATAGACGAAACCGGTTCTGTGAGTACAGTAGGATCGTTAATACTTGAGGGAAAAATTTGAATAATAAACTAACAACTTTTTTCACTGTGTTTACAGACATTACGATGGCGAGACGAGCACTCGGCGCCATTTTCATTTATGACTCAATCGCAGATGAATCTTAATCTGATAGACTCTAGCGAGGATATGAAATCTAGATCGATGAGGAGCCACTTCGGAGAATTGCCGCATTTTTCTAGTCCCGTGAAGGCACAGAGAAACACGTGTTCGCTAAGCGATAGTTACAGTTCCGCACATCAAGTCAGTTGTTATCCGCCGGATTGTTACACCAGCAGTCTATTCGAGAACGATCAGTGCAGCGACTTACTGACGAATGACATGGACAGCGAGCACTCTGACAGTATATTTGCTAAACTGATCAACAAGACCTCTTTATTGAAGTTACAAAGCAACATCGAGGATGATATGGAGAGTTTGGTGAGGGATTCCGATACGGATAAAAGTCAGTCTAATACTTTGGTGGTGACATCGCGAACGAAATCGAGCGACATAAACGAATCGACCGCTTTGTTAGAGACACCCAGCTCTTATAGTAGCTTTCAGTCGTCTCAATTGAATCAAGAAGAGGAAGAGAGGAGTATACCAAAGACTGGATTTGAGTTTCTCGATAATTGGTAAATTCATTCCGTAAAAGAAAATAATTCAATTTTTTTAATGCTCTTCTATTACATAAAAGATATTTCCATATATTCTAAGAATGAACTCTAGTTCGATTGCAGATGTTCGAGCAATATATTTAATTACTCTATTGCTAGATGTTGTATGAAAATATGCATGCGTGTGTTTTGCGTAAAAGTCAGAGTATATTTATAAAAAGAGATGGAATATTTTTTACTCTAGTCTGATAAGATTTTTTTATATCTATATTTTGTACCTTATCTCATTTGTACTGTACTACTGGAGTATTACCATTTACATGACAGATGATTCAAAGAGTTAAATAATGAAGACTGAAAAAGAATAATTTCCAAAGATATGTTCTCAGAAAATTTAATTTTACGTAGATCTCGATAGACTATATCGTGTATCCTATGGATATCGAATAACAGAGTTGAGATTTTTGTTACCTTTTTTACAGCATTGTATTTTATAATATAAAAATATATAATAAGTGCTTATGAGCAGATAGATATGCTTAGTGCATTTTGCAAGTATCTGGTCACTATTTACAAGCGATAATTTATCTCTTGAAAAGATTTATGTAAACTGTCTTTTCAATTGTGTATCAATATATGTGTATCACATGAATGCGCTATAACTTACTTCCCATACATACATACATATTCATAACATGTGCCTATTAATATTAATTATATTACAAATCACAATTTGCTTTTTGTGTCTGAAGAATTTCTTCGGTTCAACTCATCGACATAGTCTCCTCGCGCAAAAGAACCTCGATAGTCTTTGAATTTTCTCTAAAGAAAATTCGTTGAACCTCTTAAGCAGTCCAGAATCCGGACAACCAAACTGAAAACATCAGACCGCAAAGCCTCTTTATTTGTTTTTATTAACGTGAACACCGTGTAGTAAAGAAAACAAATTCTTTTTACAAATGATTTTGTACTTAGAACGATATCAAAAAATAAAAATAAGAAAAAGTGATAGCGGGGAAGTAAAGATATTCTGACGACAGATATTTCAATATTTTTCACATTTACAATTAGTATATTCTTAGATAATTGATACTGTTATACCTTTAGTGCCGGGCGACTGTATGATCGTTATATTTTCGTCACCGCTGCCGTTCTGGGCGATTTCGGAGGTCCGATAATAGTCGAGCACGTTCCTTCTTGTTTGGGAGAACGAGCAGATACCACGCAGTTCCGTCGCTTTCATTATTCGTCTGGCCTCTGATTTGCGCTCGAAGGGTGACATCAGTATCAGACGCCGCTTCAACGATGTTCGAACTGAGACTTTAAAAATCAGTGTAGCAATAATATTTTGAAACCACATTATTATTATACAGCTTATTGATGTACTACAGCACTTAATTTTATTTAATAACAGGTTTTATCTATTATCAATATAATACGAGTAATTTTATCATACATTATTTCTTGTGGCTCTTCCATGCTTTATCTCTAATACTTTTTCGCGATGTTACTAATAATTGACTCACCACTCGTATCGATTTTATCTCCTGATGCACCCTTACATATGTTTTTCGATTCCTTCGACGATCCGTCAGTCAATGCAGATAAACTTTTCGAAACAATGGCTGCTTGACGATTACTGTCACTGCACGACGATCCGTGACAGACATTCGGCAAGGATTTGCCCTTCGGCTTCAACAGAGTGATTTGTGGAAAACAAGAATCTAAGAGATCGTTATTTAAAACATTTTTATCGAAGAATATTAAACTTTATCCAACATCTATTATATATAGTAATTTTAGAAACGCCATGTTTACGCTTTTTCCCCGAATGTCCTTTCGTGGAACTGCAGTGTCCGTATTTCGGACATCTTTGTCCATCGAGACAATCTTGATCCATCGAGCGCTTTTCGTCTCCCACATTGCTATTTCTATACTGTTCCATCGCTTGACGTTCCAATTCCTGCAATACCGTAATGTAAAAATATCAGTATAATAATTAATAATATTCCAAAATGTGGAAATAGTTGAATGAAAACGAATCGAGAAGAATGCATTTATGAAATTATATAGCATCCCATTTCCGGCGTCGAGAACTGATTGAAAAATTGCTTTATTCTTTCTGCTGCAAAACGTCGTTTGGTAAAAAGAAATCATAATAATTCAGCTTATTCGGGTTAAATCCGATCTCTGATGTTGATAATGAATCTATAAGATCAGACGACTCTTATATTCTTGCCAATTCGTTTCGATTTACCTTTGGCGGAAATATCTAGTCATGAGATTAATATTTGGATCGTTACCTGATATTTGAGCGCTAACGACTCCTCCGAGTTCCTGTATTGTTCCATCGCTTGCTGTTCGAGCTCGTCGTATCTGAAAACCCATAAAACACTCAAATTGCAAGTGAATTTGATTAGAAAAAATGATTACCATGTCATTACCAAATCAACCGAAGTTTTAAAACTAAATCGGCAAATAACTTCAACGTACCTTTTCTCGAAGACGTTATCCAGGACCGTTTCGTTCGAGGCATTCGTCAGAACATCTCTGTAAAGCGGCCGCTTCGTCCTCTTGTCCTTCTTTTCGGTATCCGAAACCCTGTATCTTGAGCTCTCGTTCTCAAAGAATCTGTCCTTCAATCTGCATCTTGAGCTTTCGTTCCCAAAGATTCTATCTTTCAACCGGCACGAAGTTTCAGACGACCTTTGTTGGGCTTGCGGTGATGATTCGGCAGCCGTTTTCCAGCTGGTGCCGGCTCCTCTGCAATATTCGTACTTCTCCTCGAAGCTGCGCAGCTCGGACACGAGGGTGTTTACAGTTACAACTTCCTTCGTTTTCTTCGCACAGTGATCCCTGTCGAACCACTGTACCTGCACGTTGTGACTGGAGGTTTTCAGGCTCTGTCTGGAATCCAGAAGAAAAGGCTGCTGAACGGCGGGCTTTGAGTGGCCGCGTCGCGTCTTGATGCTGTTCTTCGTCAGTAGTATGAGATTGTTGAAGTCAACTCCTTGATTCTTCCGTTTCAGCAGCGGTTCCTGGTACAATTCCATCGGTCGTTGATACACAGGTATGGGTGTCGTTGAACTCGGCTGAGTACAAGGCAGAAATTTCTCGTACATCTGCGAAATTATGATTCAAACCCGTTATGCGTAGTTTTGTGAGAATTTCTAATAATAACGGGAATATACCATGGCATTATCGATTTCAATTCGGAATAATTAATAACAATTGCGTAATATGAAAAATAGGTGTAATATAAATTCCTTCGTCTTCTCCTCACTCTTTCTTCTCAAATATATGGATAATACTTATATTTTATTAGAACAATTAATAGATTAATTCTTCTAATTTTTTCTGATTTGAATATCTTAATCTTTTTATATATAAAAAATATATAAAATAAATCTTTTTTTATGTTAAAAAAAAATACCTGCAAAGGACGATGGGCAATCGCAGCATCGTGAATCGGTTGCAGCGGCGTGCAGATTGACAGAGGTGACGACGAAGGAGACGCTGTCAACTGTAGCTGCATTGGCGGTGCCACTCTCTGGATCCATTCCTGTGGCGAACGATACACGTTCGCCTCTGTGTGTGTCGCTGGTAATATGGACACCCTGGCGTTCTGTTCGCAAAGAAAAGTTGCATAGCTAAAAGGTTTTATATTTTAGTGATCACTTTATATTAATAATCAATTGTGAAAATTATTCTTGTTAACAGGGAAAATTATTCCGCGCTAAATCTTAATTTTAGCGTGACATGACCGTTTTTCTTCCCGAATACAATGCAGCCAGGTTTTGATTGCATCGCAGTTTTTGATGGCCGCGATCAAGAAATACATTCGGCGTCAAAGTTCTGTCTGACTGTGATGAAGAGTTTATCCTTGACATTTATGAAGGTACATTTCGCTAATTATGATTCTATATACACTTTATGTAGCGTCCTATGTACGAGAGTTTGACTAATTTCTTTCAGAAACATCTAAGCGCGACCTTCATACAAAATTTACTTTCCGGCAGGCCGTACGTTTACCGGAAAAATGGTCGCCGCGGCCTCCTGCTGCGGCCTGTTATAAGGAAACAGCTCGTTTTGGTAATTCCTGTCATTTAACGACGGGAAGTAGCGTATCTGGCAAGCCTTGCGCTCCTTGTCGTTGTTCAGGCTGTAAGCTATCGGAGGTAGGTTCGATTTCGGGAAGAATTCCGGCACTTCGGCGCTCAGAACTGGTGGCGGCGGCGACGGTGGCGGTGGTAGAGACGGAGGTGACAATAGCGGTTTCCGCTGATATTCCGCTCTCAGGATCAAGGGTTGATACTGCAACGCGCAATAGAATTGCTGATGGTGTTGGGCAGCAGGCTGCGTCTGCCGCGCGATACGCGACTGCTGGCTCATCTGCTGATAGCATCGCTGTTGTTGCTGCTGTTGCTGCTGCTGCTGCTGCTGCTGCTGCTGCTGATGATGATGATGATGCTGAAACTTCTCTGGATTCCATATGTCGCGCACGGCATCGCTCTCTATGCAGGACTGCAGCTGCATTTCGGCAGCGGTCTCGACGGTGTATCGGCGATGACGGGCGAACGTTCTCATTGATTTCTCACGAAACTCTAATAGCGCACAATACATATAGTAAGGGATAAAAGAAGCGTATAAGACGATAGCACATCGGAGTTTTTGAACTCAGAAACTAATTTTGAGATGTTGAATCATTTTATGCGTCTTGCATATTTTCAATATTTCGACAAGAATTTATATTGCCAGATATTATGTCTCTATAATATTTCGAATTAAAGATTGATTATCCTTTCGTCGCCAAAGGTGTTTAATATACGTGGGAAAAGATTTTCAAAAAAGCATTTTTAATTATCTGAATAATTATTGTAAACTATATTATTAAAAAGTATATAATTTCGGGGATCTGATGTACGGATGTATAATTTATTCGTATCGTTAACATGTGAAATTATTGCTTACCACTCTCGTCTGATTTATAAGTCGAATGTAATAATTCATCGCGCAATCCAATTTTTCTGCTTCCTTTTGGACTGGTTTTTTGGCGTCGCTTTTTCGAGCTCTCATTCCAGTCCGATTGGAAGTTCGAGCAAGCGACGGCTTCATTATCCCTCCTTGCGGTGTTACACTTTAGTATTTGTATTGCTGAGCTTTGCAAATTGAAGTGTACTATTAACAAAATATTAAAATCTATTCGCGATTAATACTAGATGTATTTAATATTTTCAAGTCTGCGATTAAAAAGCACGCGGACGTCGTCGAGATAAACGTTAAAAATAAATAAAATATATAAAACAAGTTAAATAAATAAATTGATTTTAATTAAAATTGCAATCTACTAGACTAATTAATATTATACTTTAATTTATACGTATCATTTTTAATTAAATACCACATTGTAGACGCGCCATTAATTAATTCATTCCGATAATATCTTTATCGCGCAATTTTTTTTTGGGAGGGAAGAGCTTTGCGGGACATAAAAATAACACGGAAGTGCCGAAGTGAACTAACGGTTCCCGATGCGATCGCGTGCAGCTCGGCGAGATTAACCGGGCGAAGTGTTCTTGAACTTCAGGAAGCATCCACGGTTCCACAGCCTCCGTAGCTGAACGGAAGTGACGAGGCACGCTACCCGACGATTTACCGTCGTCCGGACTGTACATTCTCTCATGCTGCTCGTCGTACTCGTAATTACCGTATTTCGCCAAGCGCGATTCGGAGATGACGTTTCGGACGAGTCTTGGACGATAATCACCATATTCCTCGTACTTCGCGGTTACTTCGCAACTCTGGCATTAAACGCGCGCGATAAGTTATCATTATGTCAAAATAAATTTTCCTTCCTCTTATTCCGAAAAATCTGCGGTGTTACGGTACACGCAGTTAGCTTTTTTTTTTTTTACTTTTAGCAATTCGCAACCGTATATTTTTCTATCTTCGATAAACGAAATATAGAATACGTTTGCGGTCTCGAATGAGATCTAATAGAATTTCTGTTATCTTCAGAAAGAAATATACAGGTATGATATTTCTTTCATCTTTAGTAATGGTGTTTTGATGACAAAAAGAGAGCTGTTAGTTCCTTTCTCCTCTTAAGGATCAAATATCCTCAGACCAACGATAAACGATGATGATATTGATAAGATAGATGTTTGGAGATATGCATGTATAAAATGCGGTACTTCGAACATCTATAAAGTATCTGATACTACGTTTAACGCGATCGTAAGTTACTTATACAGAAAGTAACGCTCGCGTAAACGTAGTATGAGTTGCGCGTCTCACTTGAATCCAGAGGGAACGATTTAATTTTCGGAAGGGATCCTCCGGATCGAAGGTCCACGTCTTGTCGGCGATCAAACTGACGTTTGCGTAAGCGCTATTCAGGAGCTCGTCGTCGTATGACGGAAGTGGAGATATCATTATCTGTACATTATAACCGATTGATATCGGATTCCGGTAGCGCCGACGAGCCGAGAGGCCGGCGAAACTTTCGCGTTTAAAACGCAAACCCTTCTCGTATTTTTTCTCACGGAGCGACCGAAAATTCGATCTCAAGTTAATAGGTAATAATAGACTAACACGTATATAGTAAAAAAAAATAATTAGTAAGTAATTTGACGCGATGAAATCGGTCGGTTTTGACCGCTTTGACAAAAGTATCGGAACGTATGCAAGAGATGAAGATCGAAGCCGTCGCGATCGCGACTTATCGATGCAGCCAGATACCTAGTAAGCTTTTTTTCAGGCACCTCCGAAGGTCGATGCAAGATGCTGTAATTTACTTATCGCTCCCTAATTTCAATTAAATTCATCTAAATCGATTTGGATTTATTTAAGCTTCTTTTTTAATTCGACCTCTATTTTTTTTAATAATAATATTTAAACGTGGAAATCGTGCGATACAAGGAAGAGAAAATCATTTCGTTTGACGATTATTTCGTATACACATCGCATATATAGGATTCTACATTGTAGAACGCAATGGATAGCTATTTTCATAAACACATTTGAAATAAGAAAATCTTGCTCCACGTTTCACATGAGGAAGAAAAGGAGGAAAAAAAGGAATAAATAAAGACAGCAGCTTTTACAAATCTGTCATCTATTTTACGGTCGATGATGATAGAGTTAGCACGCACTCGCACACGCATTCGCACTTTTGTACAGTTTACACGCGCGGTTTTATTTACAAAGTGAAATCAGGCCGAAGACAGATCTCATAATTTACAACGTAAAACGCGCAAGGCGATCGTCGAGGAAGCCGTTTCTCGCGATCGCGAAACGTCGTTTGGCGAGAGGAGAAAATCAGTCTGGCAGTCTGCGAATAGCAGGCCACTCTCAGGAACGCTACGACGGCGCCGTTATTGTTCCTCTAACAATGAATTGAGCACGAATTTGACACATCCGCGAATCACGTTATCGTCCGCGTGGCATTCCACAGCGGCCCGACAATCCCGTTCATCAGCGGTGTTCCGTTAATAATCTTCGCGGTCCGAGAACTGGCAATGCGAAGTAGTTATAAACGTGGGAAGACGAACTCTATCCCTTCTCTTAACGGGCATTCTACTAATCAAAACGCCGTGTTTTCGATTGAATAGCCGAATGCCACAGATAGTTAACAATCTTAACATAAACAAGAATTTAACAAAATAATCAATGTTTAGATTGTTTTAGAATTAGATAATACAACCGATATAATTTTCAGTTTAATCCCCGACTTATTATAAACGATGGATTTTATGATTTTAATAATAATAATTTAAATAATTCTATCGTCACGAAGGAAAAGGTACATACAAGGACCAATTTCGTATGTTGCATGAAAATTTAAAATCAATTGGAAAACAGCGTTCGTACTTACTGAAATTGCAATTCCAAAAAGTCATGATTGTAATCATCAATATTTTTATCTTTTATCACCTTTTTATTTTTCATTTGCTATTAAAAAGCTAATTTTCGAGTATAAAAGGCAAAAAAATATAATTCGCGATAAGTACAATATAACTATATAGTGTACTATAAATTAATTTCTAAGAAAAATTATAAGAAAGAGCTACGTATCCCAAAAATCTTTTTAATTTGCAATTTCAATAAATAGCGTTTTTTGATTAAGAATCATAAAATAAGTGCTTATATGTGCCACTTAGCCATTCAAGCAATAATTACAATGTGCGACTGCATCGAGTGTGTATCTGGCACGACAGCTTAGGATATATGTATACAGAGTCGCTAGTTAACGATTAATTGGACTGCCTCGATGCCCAGTCGCACATCTCTCCATCTCGCCGGCGACGGATAAATCGCCGTAATTAAAATGGCATTCAACGTAATCTCGCGAGTCTCGTACTTCGTATTTAATATCGTATTTAATGCGGTCGCTTGAAATGCGCGAAACGTGCAAATTTAGCATCAACATTTAATGCCATTAAAATTAATATTATTCGTAATATTAATATCGATTATTTAAAATCGATTAAGATTATCTAAAATCTTAATATTAATATCAGAAATAATATTAATTTCATAAATATGAATAATTCATAATACGTGGTATTATGTCGTAAGAAAATTTTTGTAATACGATCAATCGTGTAACTAAAGATAGATATTGCGCGCTCCGCGCGAGCGAATCGTTTTGATTAGACATGTGTCATTCAATATTTACAAAAAAAAAGAGAAATTTGCGAGATAAAGAGTACGATAGAAAACAACGAGTCTCTCTCTCTTTACATTTTATGGCAAGATGATCACGCGTTCGACGCGGCACCTCGCTGCAACTCCTAAACGTTGCAACGACTTTTCACGAACACTCTTCGCCAGCATTTTTCTCAAACGTATTCTCGTATCACTCAAACCCACATTCGATCATCCAAATTCGCAAGACTGGATGTCGCTATTTATACTATCGATTTACAAACGTTCGACTAATCAAGCTAAACGAGCAGCAAAACAATTCGATAACATTCCTAAGTGGATCTCGCGCGTTTCCTCAGGGCGAGGAGTCTCTACAATTTCCCCGAAATAATTCTTACGGTCACTAAACTACTATTGTTCACTAAATTGTCCCGGCATCAAATCCGAGGACCCGTTTCAAACGTATTCCTCAGACGGTTTGGGGATATTCGCCGGTAATCTGGGTACTCGACTGGTACTGTCCGGTAGCTCGGCGATGTCGATGAACACGCCGACGAGGCTCTCGAAGTTGGGTCCCCAGTTGAGCAGATAGTCCCAGCTGAGAGCGTCCTCGGCGGCGGCGGTGGTGGTGGTAGTGGTGGTAGGCGAGCCGTTACTGGCGTGGCCACCGTAGAGAAGACCACCCATGTGGGTCGACAGATCGTCGTCCGAGGCAACGAGGGTGCTGAGAGAGCCGCGAAATGAACTGTCGAAGCCGTCGTAGTTACCGACGTTCGGCGGCAACGGCGGTTTCGTTGACTGCGACGACTCGACATTACTTCTCCCCTGCGGGCTGCTCCCCTCGTCATCCTGCTTGGCGAACAGGTTGTCGGACCGTTTGTCGCCCACCAGCGACCCGTTGTCGTACTCGATTTCCGAGCAGGTGAAGCTATCGTTGCCGCTCTCGTCGGTGGTCGACGAGTTCCGTCGCTCGAGCCTCTCCACGGGAGGCGTGTGACGCCGGTGGTGATGGAGAGGTCCGTGCGCGGGAGGGCCCCTGGCCTCACTGGAGGAGCTCACAGCGTCCAGAGTGGAGACCAGGCTGGAGGTTCTTGGACGGGAATTGAGTCGTTCGATCTCCTCTGCCGTGAGACCCATCGGACCCGATGACACGTTGTTCACCGAATTCTCATTGTTGGACTGCGGGGCCTTTCTGCTAGCGGTTGAGCCTGACAGTTGACTCATGATGGGTGAGTTCAGGCTCCTCTCGCTATTGGAATTCAACGCATCCTTTCCGACACCGCCGGATGAGGACGTGGTGGCCAGCAGCGCGCTTTGCAGCGGTTTCCCGCTGATATCGTGCAGCGTGAGAATCCGCGGTTGTTGCGCGGACAACTCGCTGCTGGGAGATAATCTCGCCAGAGGAGTACTTTGGAGCAATTTGGGCGCCGGTCCGGGTGGTTGGTTCACGTTGGGCGGTGGCATAGCTCGCGGTGGGAAGGGTCCGGTATGGCGATGCTGTTGCCCCGTGTGCTTATGATGGTTGCCATAATTACCTGTAAAAATAATGTCTATTTAAGCCGATTAAATTATTTTAAATATACATACGTATATATCTTTTAAAATAATGTAAACTTTAAAACTTAATGCTTAAAGCAAATTACGTTAAACTTTAAAATTTTTTCTCTCAATAATAAAATATTGGTCTTTTCTCACCTATAGGAGGCGGAGTGGCTTTGTACTTCCTCATGCCGTCGCGATAACCCTTGTAATGATATACGATGTCAATGTCGCTGGGCGCGATGGAACTAGCGTTCTCCAAATCGTAATGTTCCGGGATGTCGGGTTCCGGGTTATGCTCGTGCGAATGGAGGGAGGTTTGAGTGGGCGGTAACGGTAGATGCTCATCGCGGATAGGAGGCGACTTGGTGACTTCCCGCTCGATAATATCTGGTCGTTGCGGTCGGTGCTCGGTAGTAGAGTTGATCTCGCGCTCCTTGTATTTCTTCGAGATCAGCTCAGGACCCATGTGACCGACGCCGCGCAGATCCGATGTGTCGGAGATGTACGTGTTCTCATGACGGGACATGAGATTATCGTTTCCGGGGCCGACCAGCGGGTTACCGGTCATGATAGCATTGGTATTCTTGTTGACAACCGACGGCGCCGACTTCTCCTTGTTTTGGCGGCGCAGTCGGAACACTATGAAGCTCACCAGAATGGCAATTAACAGGATGACGAAGAAGACGATGACCAGAGTGATACCAATACTGAGAGGGTCCGCGGCCGCAGCCGCTCCAATGCCGATCGGTCCTCTGCATCCGATGCTCACTTTGCCATGATATAGCACATCTTTGAAGATAGAACTGGAGCCGTTGAATGATTGCACCTCGTTGTTGATGGTAAAGTTGGCCAGACAACCTTCGAAGCTCCTAGAACCAGCGCTGTGAGCATAATAGAGGTCCTGGCTGACTCCACCGATCGACAAGACGGACAAATATGGATCGAGAAAATCGTGAACCCCTGCCAAGTCCAATTCGTCGCCTGTCAAGGTACCATCGACCAACAATCTTAATCCTCGAGCGTAGGCATAGAGAGTCAGATTATGCCAACGTCCGTCCGCGAGACCACCCTCAATGTTGATCGACATGTTCACCGGTGATCCGAGCAGAGACATGTAAATCAATTGGCCGTTGCGAAGCTGAAGCACAGTATAATCGCATTAATTAGATTCCAAAATGAAACCCACTTATTTTTATCTACACACTTTATTTGTTCTATTCGTTCTTTATTCATTTAATAAAATATAATTAATACTAATTCTTGATAGTACATAAAGTTTAAAAAATCTTTGAAAATTGATTGTTTTTAAAAAATAAATGATTTTAATATTTATAATATTTTACGAAACAAAAAATTGGTTGAAATTGTATCTCACCTCTACGGATGTAAAATGCTTATTTGTCGCGGCGTATATCAGGATACCATCAGACTTCACGGTTCTGAACATCAAACTGATTGTCTTCGGGGGAGAAAGATATGTTGACGAGCTCGTGTCCTCACGCTTCAAGCGATTCTTGTGCCATGCTGTTGATCCATTATAGATATACTCCAACAATTGCATCCTTCTGTGTTTCTCTGAAATCTGCGCAAACAATACCAATCATGCGACAATTCAGAATTATTCAGAAATAGAATTAATGAAATATTAACAAAGTTGAAGTAATATGACACTTGAACCAACTAACTTAAATATTTTTATCTTTTTACTAATCAAATTTCTAGAAATCGTGAACCCCTGCTATTTAAAATCTATTATCTCGTATCTAACATTAAATTAATGACATAATATGTAGTATATATATAGACATGCTATGTCATTTAATATTATTATCTCATTGTTACATTTATCGTATTAGTAATATTAACATTAACATTAAATAATTACAATGCTTATAATAAAATCCTATATATGTATAAAATCAATAATTTATTTTTACCTTAAACTCGATAAATCCTCCCTCACTCAACGTGATGGGTTCCAGGGCACCGTAGCAATTGGGCGCTATCAAAGATCCGCACTGACACATCACTTGATGCCAGTTGTCATGACATTGGGCGTTCACGCCGCAGACAGACACAGCGTCCTGCTCGTCTCTCAGGCATGGATTCCGCTGCGATCTGATGCACGTGGACTTCACGCCACGCGACGCGAGTGGATTCGTCAGATTCAAGGCCCTTCCGTTTATCGAAACCGAGTGAACACAACCCACGAAGTCGTCAGAGTGAACTTGGCCCGGACGTTCTAACACGGGATCAGCGTTCTCCAAGCCGCCCAGTAAGAGAGGGTTATTGTTAAAGTTCAAGGCCCTGTAAATACCGAATATTAGCGCGCATTCGTAAATCTTAATTTAAGGGATCTAAAGTGATCAATCATTTTTTATCAAGATCAATCCCTTTCTTACAGTGCTTTTAATAATTATCTCCATTATTATATCGCTGAAGCTGGCTCGAAGTCAAGCCGAAACGTTCGTTTTGTAATTCACGTACTTATTATTATACTTAATTAAAAATCCAAGTACATTCACAACGCGCGCACTAACAACCGCATTATTCTTATTGACCCTCATTTAGTTTAAATTTTATATTCCATTAGTATCAAATACAATCATGTTTTACAATTTAAAATAAACTTTCTACAATTTAAACATCAAAACTGTACAACAATAATGTATTAATTTTAAGATAGACCGTCTAGAACTTCAGAAGATTTAAAAATTCAATTTTTAGTTTAATTTTACAGTCCTATTCACAAATTGATTTTCTTTCGTTGGAAAATTGATAAAACACTTACCCAGTTGGGCCCGTGCCGTCCGCGTAACAGGTACGATCGCCGGGTCTGCAATCGTCGCAGACATCGCCGTGTTCCCTGCAGGTGGACACGCTGAGCGAGAGAACTTTGCCGTTCCTGGTGGCGGTGACCTTGTGCCATTCGCCGTCCGACACCGGTCGCTTCGTCTTGATAGTGACGGTGCCGATCGCGCTTCTGGCACCGCCGTACGAGAAAACCACTAGGCCGCTTATCAGCTCCAACACGACAAAGTCCGAGCGGCCACCCGACTGCGACGCATAGTTGTACAGCAGCAACGCATCCGGCATCGTGGTGGCAAACACGATGGTGATGTCATTCGTGTTGGTGTCTAACGCTGGGAATGCCATATACGACAACTCGTCGAAACCAAAGGTCGAACGCTCGCAATGCCGGCCGTAACGACCCTCGGGACAGCTACATCGATATCTGCGCGGGCAACAATTTTATTTTCCATTTTTTTTATTTCACTTTCGTACAAATCGTTTAATTAATAAGTGGCATATGTAGATCGTGGTCATGTCACTTAAAATCATATTAAAATCATATTCAACAAACCCAGGTTTTTCTCCTACGCATAAGCCACCGTACAAGCAAGGATTCGGTCGACAGGAATCTGTGACTGCCTCACAGTGATTTCCTCTGTAGCCCGCCCTGCAGAGGCAGAAGAAGCTGAAGCTGTCCGGGCTCTTTCTACACGATCCGCCGTTTCGACACGGATTGCTGGCACATGCATCGCCTCTCTCGAGCTCGCACAGCTTGCCATCGCGATCGATAGGACAAGTGCATTGAAAATCGTATCCCAAACGTCGGCATTGTCCTCCCTACAGAAAAAGAAGAAGAGCTTTATAGAATTTGTGCTTCGTATCGATTTTCAAAAAGTGCTGCGAATAACAAATCTAAGCTAGAAGAAAAAAGTCTCAAAGTGAGCGTAGAAAAATATTTAGAAAATTCTCTAATTCAAAGGCATATGTTATATATACAATTTAATAACCATCTAGGAACGAAAATAAATATTAAACTCGTGCTCGTATGCTAACGTTATAAATTATAGCTACAATAAAAACGTAATAATTTTAAGTTACAATATTGGCAATATTCATTATTTTTATGTTACATGTGTTATACTTTGCTCCACGTTTTAACTGCAAACTATTTTTTTACTCACCAGCAAACAGGGATTCGGAAAACATGGATCCTGTCTTCTTTCGCATCTGTCACCGGTGTAGCCATCCCGACACTTACAGGATCTCTCGTGCATCATTCTGGGCGACGTCAGGATTAGCGCCTGGCTGTCGGTGATCCTGGCGTCGTCGTATATGGTCAACCGGTCGCTGCAGCTACCCCCGTTTTCGCACGGCATATGTTCGCACGGAGAATAACCGACGATAAAGGAGTTATTTTTGAGCAGCGTTTGGATTTCGTCTCGATTGCGCTTCAACAGATCAGTCACCTCGTTCCTCGTTCGATACTCTGAAGAAAATGAATAAAATATTGTCGAAATTATATTATCATTTCTTAACGTATATAATATGTAATATATGTCGAATCCGAGTAATAATGTAAATATAATAGCACGTCAATATCTTTCAAAATTTTAGAATTGACGTCCATTTAACAACGATACTAAATATGTGAGTGTACATATCTGTTAATTGAATATATGCATTTGTGATATATTTTTAACTTACCTTGCGAAGATTTCACCGCCAAGTGAACATTTAAGTCCGGTCCGTTTTCACCAATGCTGAAAATGGTAAGTGTATCGCCAACATCGAGCTTCTCCTGCAGAAGATCCAAGAGAGCCCGGTAGTATTGACTGAGGAAATCATTAGCGATCATTTTAATAATTTGCAGAGTCGCACTGTTCTCGATCGTGGCGTTCGAGAAGATCAGGAACTCGACGGTGACCTTGGAGATCACATTCGGATGTCGTCCGTCGTTACCGGAGACGCTCAAAGAATAGCCGGCTATACCCACATAATTCAGAAATTAGTAAGAAAATATTCTGCGTAATATTTTGTTGAGAATAAATCATTTCGATCGAGATGGAACATTATGAAACGTTGTGCCCGATATGCTCATCGACAAGTCAATACATCATGTTTTAAAAGTCAAAAATATAGATTAGGAAGAAAAATTCTCTCTCATTATAAATCTGATGTTCCGCGATTGATATGTAACGTGCCTGATGAAATCTTGTTGGTGTGCAGATCGCAAGCAGTGGGGATGGTGAGCACATTCGAGTTCGGGCCTTGAAGAATCTTGCACGAGAAAGCCCCGATGATATCCGGATCGTTCGGGTGCACGTCGGCGATCTTTCCTAGCGGTGTATCGCCGTTAAACGAGTACACGATCACATGCACCGACCTTGGTGTGGATGGGTTGTCATTCTGATCGGTGACGATTACGACGATATTGTGCTCGCTCTTCATTCGAGGTATACCCGAGTCCTCCACTACAACCTACACACAAAAATACATTTCATTAAATTCAAATACCATTGTGCTATTTACATCTCTTTGTGCTATCTGGACTTTTATCAATTATATATAGAATTACAGAAAATGGAGTGTGTAACTTTGCAGAGATTTTAAAATTTTCTAAGGATAAATTGTTTTATTGCTTCTCTCCGGCAATAAATAGGTAAATGGCATAGTTAAAATTACTTTCATTACCTTATATACGTTTTAAATACCAACCTTCAGCTTTAGCTGTGGCATTGTTTCTCTATCGAGGTTCGTAGTGGTTCTCAGTATACCCGAATGCTTGTCCAAGGTCACCATGTTGCTCTGTTCTCCTTCGATCAATCTGTAGGTGAACGGTGCACCATTGGGCGGCAGATCGGGATCGGTCGCACTCAAAGTCATGATGCTGGTACCTATCGATTCGTTCTCGCTTACATAGCCGACTACTTTCGGTGGATCGAAAACCGGGCCATTGTCGTTCACGTCCATTAGCTCGATGTGCACCATCACGGTGCCAGTTTGCGGTGGCGAACCGCTGTCGATCGCGCCAATCGTCAGATCGTACGTGGGTACGGTCTCGCGATCCAGTTTCTTCGCCGTTTCGACTTCACCGTTCTGTGAATTGACTTTGAAAGCCTCGTCGAGATTGCCGCTGATGATAGAGTACAAGAACTGATTGTTCTGCGGCTTGATGTCCTTGTCGATCGCGCGAACTATAAGCACGAGGGTGCCCTGGGCGACACCCTCCGACACGTTGGCGTTGTAGGTACTCTGCAGAAACTCAGGCGGATCGTTGCCATCCTGGATGGAAACGATCACCTGAGCTTCGTCAGTGTCGTTGCCGCGTATACCACCGCCGTTCTTCGCCATCACCGTCAACACCACGCGATTCTGTGTCTCACGATCGAGCCGACGCGACACTCGAATAATGCCAGTATCCGAACCGATCGAGAAGCCGCGATCATTAGACGAGCCCACGAAGAGATAGTACACACGGCCGTCTTCGCCCGAGTCCTGATCGGTTGCCTGGACTACGCCAACCGACGTGCCCACCTCGGCGCTCTCCGACACGTCCATGTGAAATACGGGTTGAATGAAGTGCGGATAGTACTCGTTCACGCCGGTGATGTGCACCACCACGGTTGTGAAGCCGACCATCTGCGACGAGTCCGGATTGGATGCAACGATATCAAGATTGTATTCGTTCGCTTCTTCATAATCGAAACTGGCGTCCGATGTGATTTCGCCAGTATCCCTGCGGATGCGGAAATGGTCTTTGCCGGTGCCGCCCAGGATCTCGTACTGCACTATAGCATACTTGGGTGAGTCGATGTCTCGGGCGATCACCTGGAATTCCGTGAAGAAAACGTAAAAAAATTGCGATTAAATTATACGTCAAATTTGTATCAATTTAATGGAAAGTATATTGAAAGTAAAAATAAACACATAGATTCATTAATTGATTTATTTAAGAAATAAGATAGAAAACTTCTTGAAATAACAAATTTATAGCAATTTCTTTATATTCGATTTAAGTTCAAAATTCGAATAATTTTTCTAGCTAGCTACTGAGCTAAAAAACTAGAAGATATCAGAAGAACATAAATTAAATTTAAAAATTCTGCGATAAACATACCTTGTAAACGAAAGTATCAGGTGGCGAATTTTCTGGTAAGAACGCTTCATAGACACTCTGATTGAAGGTTGGAGGGTTGTCGTTGATGTCGGAGACATTGACAGTTAAGGTGGCTACCACTTGCTTCGGCTCGAATCCCAGATCCGTGGCGGTGATGTTCAGCCGGTATTCCTGCACCAAGTCGTAGTCGAGGGGCTCGAGTATGGTGACCGCGCCGGTGATAGAATGCACGAAGAATTCATTTCTCTCGTTGCCGGCCGAGATCCTATAGCGGATCATGCCGTTGGGTCCGCTGTCGCCGTCCTCGGCGCTCACCGTTAGAATCGTGGTGTTAATTGGCTCGTTTTCCGGTACTCTGACTTGATAACTGACGGCGGCGAAGGCGGGCGCGTGTCGGTTCTCGCCAGAGATTACGAGAGTCAGAACGATTTCATCCTTTTGCGGCGGCACGCCTTTGTCGGTGGCGCGGGCTTTCAGCAGGAACACCGCGCCGATGGGAATGCCGTTAAGGTTCTTGCGCACGTAAACCCAGCCAGATTGTTCCTCGATGGCAAACAGGTCGTCGGTACCGTTCACGTTCTCCAGCGAATAACTGACCTCCGCGTTCACGCCGAAGTCGGCGTCATCACGGGCGATCAGCTGAATAATGCGTTTGCCTACTCCATAATTCTCTGGCACTGGGGACAGATAAGACCTCTGCTCAAAACGAGGCGCGTTGTTGTTGGCATCTACCACGTTCACGTGCACCATTGTTCTCGAGGACATCGGCGGCTTGCCGTTATCGGTGGCGATTACTGTCAGCGAGTACAGATTCTCCGGCGAGGATGGCCGATGCGTGTGCTTGTAACGTAGGGTACGCTTGCTGAAGACGTCGCCGGTCGCCGGATCAACAGTGAAGAGATCGGACGGTTGCAGCAGGCTGTAAGATATAACGGAGTTCGGTCCCTGTTTGTCGCGATCGGTAGCCGCGACTGTGCCAACATGTGCCACCCGCGGCTGGAGCTCGGGGAAATGAAAATGATAGGTCTTCTTGTCAAACTCAGGCGCGTTGTCGTTCTGGTCCTGAATGGTGATCGTCAGGGGAGTCTCTGCTCGCCATGCGCGGTCTGCTACTACGACCTATAACGAAGAAGTAGAAAACGATAACAGAAGAAAAAGAGAAAAAGTAGTTTTGATTTTGATATAATAAGTAAAACAAGTATTTTCACAAAGCAAAGTTTAATGGAACTACAACTGCAATACATTTCAAGAGATATATGTCGCGCGTGTCTAAAGTATTATTTCTTTTAAAGATGCTTTCTTTCCTCAAATCTGAATGCGTCTAAACTTAGAAAACGTTTGAATCTCTTAAATTTCGCTCTTTACACCTCTGAATACTTTCTTTAAACTTTTGTATTGTTTTTCGTAAGTTTAAAAGCAATTCATTCGATTTTATAGAGATAAAATTAAATATCCTACCTTCAGTAGATACTCATCCTGATCCTCTCTATCGAGCTGCCCAGCCACGGTCACGTTTCCACTTAAGGCGTCGATGGAGAACTTTTCTCCTGGATTATCAGTAAAGCTATAACTGACGTTCGCGTTCTGACCGATGTCTCGGTCACTGCTGGTCATGCGTATAACGAACGTGCCAATTTCCGCGTTCTCCGTCACGTTTACGCTAAACAGTCGCGTGAAGTGCGGCGGATTGTCGTTCTTGTCCAGAACAGTAACCAGCACCGTGGCGGTACCGGTTAATCGGGGGTGACCTTGATCTCTGGCTTCCACGATCAGTTCGTAAGACGCAATCTGAAGGAATTTCAACGTGAGTTTAAGTTAAATGATATAATTAATTGTCACACAAAATATTTTCAGGATTTTTAGGTAGAATTGGTTCGAGATAATTATAATTAGTTCTGAATATTGTAATCAATTAATTAAATATTATTGTAATATCCTCACCTCTTCGCGGTCCAATTTGGCATTGGTCTCGATCTGCCCAGTGCTGCTGTCAATGATGAAAGACTCGGAGAAGTCGTCGATTAGATGATAAGTGATCTGGCCGTTCTCTCCGGAATCGCGATCTCTTGCGGATACCTTGCCGACGAACAACGGTGGATACTCTTCCTCCATCACGGTCGCGTTGTAAATGGCCGCTTCCAGGACCGGTGCGTTATCATTGGCGTCCGTGACGTTCACCAAAAGTTGAAGAACGCTGCGCAGAGCGGGCGTATCCGAATCACAAACTTCAATCCAGGCTTCGTAGTGCGGAGCCGTCTCATAATCAAAGCCAGAGGCAACCACGACCTAAAAAAGAATTGTAATTAATTAATAATTAAAAATAACGTGCAAAATATAAAAAAAATTAATCATTTTCGTAACAGTTTGAAATTCTATAGAGAAAAAGAGAGATAACTAATTAAAAGAAAGAAAGATGAATCAGAGAAAAAGAGATGAATAAATCAAATTGAAATATTTGATCTCAGTTACCTCTCCAGTGTGAGGAGCAATTCTCAAAGCATCCCCCACGTTTCCGCCAGCCATGCCGTAGCTCAAATTGCTTGTCGGTCCAGTCTTTGGTGTGGTAGCGCTCAGCTTGGTGATCACCTTGCCTTCGGGCACGTCCTCAGACAGCGTGAAGCTCGTGTTGACGCTCGATTGAAATCTGGGGAACAGCTGCCGCTCCCACAAGTGGATCACCAGATCGGCGGTGACGTGCTGGGGCTCGGCACCGCAGTCCGACGCCTGTATCTGCAGTTGATAGGTGGTCTGGTCGCCGATCAGTTCCTGGGTAGCACGGATCACGCCATTGTTGAGATCAATGGTGAATTGATCGGTGTCCTTGCCGTGCAGCCGGTAAACAATCCGCGAGTTCTCGCCGTCATCGTCGTCGCTTGCTTTCGCGCCGAAGACGAAGTCGCCTTTAAGAAGAAATCGACATCAACATTCTGGTTCGCGGCTAGCTAATTAGCAGAATGCAGAACCATTCTACGGTGGCTCTTCCTTTCGTCAGTAATTAATGCATCTAATTAACGCACTTGGTATTGCCGCCGATCTCATTACCTGGTTTGGTTGCGCTTGGAACGTAGGCTGTGTACCGGGGACTGGAAAAACGGGGCGCATTGTCGTTCACGTCCGTCACGTAGATCGTCAGATTCACAGCGGAGGCACGCGGCTCCGTCGGGCTCGAGTCTCTAGCCACCAGGGTCAAATAATATACAGCAGTCTGCTCGCGGTCCAATGGCATCGTGGTGAACACCTCGCCCGTGTCGGGGTCTGCAGAAAACCGCTCCGCTTTGTCTCCAAGTAGGTTGTAGCTATTTTGAAAAAAGTAATAAAAACCATTTAAACATGGTAAAATATATTATCAATAAAATTAAACCAAATACATTTGATAAATGCAGATTATTATTCTGCTATGATTGGTTTGTAGTGATTCTTAGAGTAAACATATTTACAAGCTCTTACAATTAGCTTTGACTCTTGGTCATAAAATTTTGCGCGAAGAAGATAAAAACTATAAATTTCTTATTTAAAATTATATGATTAGTACTCTAGTAACTATTCACTTAAACATTAATTAGAGCTAAAAGGACAATACAAAAAGAGAACTGTATATCCAAATAATATTTACATTTAAAATATTGTTGAATTTTTATCGAGAGAAAAGTAGAATTACATAATGAAGTTTCTTTTTTATTCAATCTGTGCGATTCAACATTGCCAAGCACTTCCTAAAATGAAATAATATATTTTCAATCGTGATTACGCAACATCGGTGAGGCCTGCCTACCTTATTTTCGCATTAAATCCTTCGTCCTTGTCCGTGGCGTGCGGCTTGGTGACCCAAGTTCCGGCGGGCGCGTTTTCCACCACGGTGGCCTTGTAGTCCTGCCGCGCGAACTCGGGGCTGTGATCGTTCACGTCGAGGACGACGATCCTGACGATGCCAGATCCGGTGAGAGGCGGCGAGCCTGCGGAGACACGCGATGCGAAACTTTAGTCGTGTTGTCGTCGGGCGGCCATAAAAACAACCGTCGTCGCACCGATGCGTCGTGCCGTCGCTCTAGCTCGACTTCTTTCTCAATTTTTTTTATTATTTATTTATTTATTTTTTGCGCTTTTATTGCTATCTCGCGAACCGTAACGCCGCGCGAGCGTAGTTGGGTCAGTGGCGCGATTATTCCGCTAAATTTACGGCCCGCCTCTCGCGGCTCGTTTATGACGGTTTAAATCGGTCCAAACGGAAGGTAAACCGGGGCCATAATTTTAACAGAATATTATTGTGGGGTCCGCGTCGCCCGCGAGACGCCGTAAGGTGATTTAGAACTTGCTCGTGCCCGTCGTGGAATATATTTACTTTTGACCGGCGAATCGTTGTTCGTATAATTTTTCTTTTGTCGATTCTTGCGAAATTAGTCGGATGAAGCGCAAAGATGAAGTGCACAAATCGACAGAGAAACATCATTTACAGCAAAAGCTTACTTAAGATATCGTTTATTTTATTGCATCGTAGTTTATTTTACATTTCTAAATGTCGATTACCTATAATTACTTAATAATTGCGTTCATTGTAAATTTGCTTTATTCATCTTCAGATGATTTGGGAATTGAGAGAATTTGATGGTTGTAAACTTTTTCAACAATTTTGCTAAAAAAAAAAAAATCAATCAAATCCCTCAAATTTCTCGAAGAATCGCTTTCTAAACTTTCTTTGTTTAGTTAATTTGACATATGTCCAACTAGAACGATTTTAGATTGGTGCTTTCTTGGGAGCCGCTTTCAAAAATCAAAGGGCGGTACAGTGAGATAATTGGGGTCGTGAGGAAAAGCGACTTTTCTGGATCGCGGAAGTGCACGCGGTGGCTAAATAATGGCCGGCAAACGACGCGGGGGTAATTTAGACGTGACACACGCGTTCTCCAAGCGGTGCCCATTGTGCTACCCACTTATGATTTACGGATTGGGGTACCCGACGTAACGACGTTAGTGCGCGCGGAAAAGTCTCGCCGAGGCTTAATTGCGCCGCCTAAAACGCACCATTACTCTCCAGCAGGGTAGGAAGGGAAGAGGACCGATTTCTCTGATTGCGCACGGAGTATATACGCGGTACATGTATATGTTGCACATACATGGCGAGCGTTGGCGTAGCCCAGGGCCACGCGCCTGCACGAACGTACACCGTTCAATCACGCGGAGAGTTCCCGTTGAGGGATAAGACAAAGCAGGAAAGAGAGGAAGAGAGAGAGAGAGAGAGAGAGAGAGAAAGCGGGGGAAGAAGACGGAGGCTGAGACTGAAACTATATTTATCATGTTCTAGGTAAATATCCCGTAAGAGTACAGATTGGATAGACTGCGTCAAAAATCTCGCGGTTTCTTGTAGCTGCAAATTCTTCCTCGACTTGCTTGGGAACATATCCAACGATAAGGGAAAAGAATTAATTAACAGAGAATGTAAAAAAATATCACTCAAGATATATAATCCTACACGGGTTGATTCGTCACGTATCATAATTCCTTTGTAAAAACATAATGTACATAATGTAATTTTAGAAAGGTAATAATTACAAAATTATAAATTAATCTAAGCAATAATTTTGATCTGCCCGTAAACGAAAAGTGATACTATATTTGCAAAATCAATAACGATAAGAAATAAAAAATTACATAGATATCAAATAGTTATCTGTAGTCAATAATCAAAAATAATTTTTAGTTTCTTTAATTACTGCCGTTATTTCATGATAAATGGATTATTGGCAGGCTAAATATTCAGTTTAAATTAACAATCTATCTTGGAGTAATGGCAAAAATTTGATGGAAGGAGATATTTGAAAATAATAAGATATAATAATAATTATAGGGCTAATAAAAGTAGGAGAATAGAAAAAATAGATTTAAAAAAAGAAAAAATGAGGCACGTAGCAGTATAACAATTGTAGTACACAATGACGTGATGAACGTGAGTTCCCAGGGATTTAGAGTCAGGAAAGATGGTCTACTTTGCATATAACGAGTAATCGCGTAATTTGCTTACTGCTTACTAATGACAGTAATGAAGGGACTCACTTGCTACGCTGATTTCCACCGAACGGGATTTTCAGCTCGGCTGATCAGGAATATCGATTTTTAAGGAACCCGCTAGCCTTAGGTCTTAGGTATCACGAGTATGAGAAAGAGAGTGAGGCGTTCGTATATGGCGAGTGTCCTTATTGAAAAATGATTATCGAAGCGTCAGTTGGCCATGTGCCGCCCGATACGTATACATATATATTTTTAATTATAAAAAGACAAAACAGAGACACACAAATCATCGAGTCGTACGTCTCAATAGAAGCGAGACATCCTGTTTACGTGCGGCAGATGCTGAAGGGGTCGCAAGGCCCTTATAATCGCCCCGACAATACGCGTCGCGCAAGACAAAAATATGTGTGCCCCGAGATGCCGGAGAGCACGCTGGCGCGCGAGCGCGTGACAACGCTCTGCGGTGTATGTGAATAAAGTAGAATATAATGTGCGAGTGCAAGAAAGGGGGGAGCACTATCCAAAAGAGACGCATAGCTCTCTTTCTCTCTCCGGACGAGAAGGAGGGGTCGTGAGGCCCGAAACGCGCGCGCGGGGCCTCACGACCGGCGGAACGGGAAGGCAAGAGGAGAGGACAGCATGGACGAGATAGTGAGGTAGTGAGAAACGAAGCGTGCGGGAGAGGGGGGGGAGGATGCCTGAGGCCCACAGTCGAACGGGAGAACCAAAGGAAGGAATGGCAAAGGAGAAGGAGGAGGAGAAGAAGGAGGGAGGAGAGGACAGTGCCAGTGCCGAGGCAGACAGGGAGGAAGGCATTCGAGGCCGATTATCATAATCGCGCGTCATAACTCTACGGGCTTGTCTACCTTGCCGGGGACCGATTGGGCCATCGAGCCACCGCGACCGGGGGCGGGACGGGAGAAGGGGGTAGGCGCAGGAAGGGGTGAGGACCGGGAGGAGGGGAAGGACCGGGGGAGGACTACCGGCTTCTAAGAGGAAGCGTGGAGAAAAAAAAAGGTTTAAGAGGGAGGAACTGCCCACCGCTTAAAGAATCTCATCGAACAACCCACAAATTTATATCCAATTTGTATATTACCGCTCATTACTTAAACCCACCGCGTACATCGTCTATCGTTTCTCGTCTATGTGCCGGTCAGCGTCCGCTGCTGGCAGTATTGACATTTCGGCGGATCGTTTGATGGACGGCTGCTGGTACGATTTGCATAAGAAATTAGCACGAATCGATCACGAGCATAATTCCGCGAACGTTTAAGTCGATCTTGTGCAGAATACCCGGAAATAATAGTAATCGCGCCAATCGTAAAGTCGATTGATAGCCAACTAAATGACTCTCTTTGAGTGTACTGTAAGAAGAAATACCCAAGCGCGTATCTCGAGTTACAATACAACAATGATATAATTAATATTGTGATAATAAAAATATTCTAATAACTTTAGTTATTTTTTCGTTCAGTCACACTATCTGGGTTACACTGATATGCCGATCCAAGTTTAATTAAGTGCTTTGTTCACACTAATTCGCAACCAGTTTTACACAGACCGGTCACAGCCAAGTGGATCGTAAAAATAATCCCTGCCGGAGAATAAGGGGCTATCCTTTTAATGTCGACCATTGTACGATAGATTGTATGGGATATACGCCTATTTAGCAGTCCATCTGCGGCGCAGATATCGCGTATTCTTGTTGTCGCAGTTTTCTTTCGTATCAATTTTACACCATTAAGCTAAATTTTCTTTCAGCAGAATAGAACGTAATAATATGCAAAACGCACAAATATTCTACATGCAATATAACACCTTAATAGTTCCATAGTAACATTTTTAACAAAGTATATCCATAAATTGTCTCTTGTAAATTACAAGGAAATTTTATCTATCTATATATGACCAGGCCCCAGCATAGGACATTCCAGCAATATTGCAACATTTCTATAATACAGCTGGAATGTTGTAATATAATTTAAATGTTGCTGGAATACAGTTGGAATGCTACGACATTACTGCAATATTGCTTAATGTTCTATGTTCAATGGACTATTTAATGGATGTTGAGTAACTTACCAGTATCCATAGCCACTAGAGTGAGCGTGTATTCGGGTATCAACTCTCTATCCAATGGACGAAGAAGCGATATGTCGCCGGTGCTCGCGTTTATGCGGAATAGATCCGTGTCACCCTCTTTGAGGAAGTACCTCACTTGATCGTTGTACGGTGGAGTGTCTGCGTCGTACGCTTTAACCTTTTAGTAAATATATAAAAACTTTAGCTTCAACTCATTTGTTAAAATACGTTCTATACGCGCATACGACGAGATAATGAGATTTCAAGCCATTTCAAGCTATAATTAAGATCTAAATTTTTTAATTATAATTTTGAAATCATAATAAATATTTTTTTTAACTGAAGCAATCTGTTTGATTCGACAGAAGGACTTTTATTCGACATTCGAACACTTGAGGTCCTTCAAATGTTTTCATTCCCTATTATCAACTGTGACACGGTGTTATTACCTGTATCACAAAACCGCCACCCGGCGGCACCATATTCTCCATAACGTGTGCCAGATATGGCGAATCGAGGAAGACCGGTGCATTGTCGTTTATGTCGAGCACGGTGATGGTGACCTGGGCCGTGTCGCCGCGCGGCACTTTTCCAACTTCCGCCGCGCAATCCTCGCTGCGGATTGTCAGATCGTACCGGGACTTGCGCTCGAAGTTCAGGTTCTTCGCCACTCGTATCACGCCGCCATCTTCTGAGATCGTAAAGTCCCGATTATCGTCCCCCATCGCAATGCTGTACCGCACCCTGCCGTTCGCACCCTCATCGCGATCCATCGCCGACACCTGAGGCCACAGCAACAAGAAGAAGGACGATTTAATATTGAGAGGTAGAGAGAAAGGAAAGGAGGGAGAAAGAGAGAGAGAAAGAGAAAGAGAGAGAGAGAGAGAGAGCCATATTTTTATTTTTTATTATTTTGATTTTAATTGCCCTATCTAACAAGATATTTTATAGAAATTGTAACAATAACAGTTATTCTTTTCGTCCATTTTATTAGTGAATTTTAGAAATGAAAATTTTAACTGTAATAGATCTTAAATTCTTAAATTTAAACCAATTACAAAAAATCTGATTTCTTCTTCCTATCTACTTCGACTCTTCTAAAGTATTGAAGTTCATTGTAATCTCACTGACCTGGAGCACACTGGCGCCGATGCTGGCGTTCTCGGCGATGGTGGCGAAGTACTGCCTAGGCTCGAACACCGGTGAGTTGTCGTTTTCATCGAGCACCGTAACAGAGACGATGGTCGTCGACGACCTTGGCGGCTCGCCACGATCTTTGGCGGTGACTTCCAGGGTGTAGTTGGATCTTTGTTCGCGGTCTAATGGCCCGGAGACCCGCAACAGCCCGTCCACCGGGCCAAGGGTAAACGGTAAATTACCGTCATCCCTCAGCGAGTACTCAACGTAACCGTTCCGACCCTCATCCCGGTCGATGGCTTTTATTGCCATCACCACCGAGTTACTCGGCGCGTTTTCAATTATCGATATTTTCGTGGGTGATATGAATTCCGGCGACATGTCATTCACGTCCAGCAGCACCACCGTCACCTGTGTCATTTGAAGGAAGGATAACATACATTGTTTCAAAATTCAGGAAAGAGAGGAATAATTGTCAACAGGACAAGTAGTTTTCGCAATAAATCGTAACTTAAATACTAGAGATTTTTACTGGACATCATCAATAGTCAAGTGTATGTTTTCAAAAAAACGTTCTATTCTAGTATTTTTTAATACGTTGCGTAGCGCATGTACCATCGATGGCCGGAATAAATCGTCGCGCAAAAATGGTGCAACACGAAACGTGTTAAAAAGTTTAAGAAGTTTTTAAAATTTCCTCATTTATATAAAAATATCACCGAAAGGTGTTTTTCGGATTTTTTAAGCTTCACCAACCTGTACTGTGGAGGACAATGACCGCGCCGGCGGTAGTGGACTGTCAGTAGCGCTCAGCACCAGATTGTAGACCGGCTTCCGCTCGCGATCGAGCGCCCGACGCGTGAAGAGGGTGCCGTTGTGGGCCACCCCAAAGTCACCGTCCTCGTCGCCTCCGGCGACGGCGTAGATGACCCTGCCATTGTCGCCGGAGTCTAGATCCTGGGCGGTCACGGTGAGCACGGGAGTGCCGACAGTCGCGTTCTCCACGATGTCGGCCGCGTGCGGCCCGGTTTCGAAGATCGGTGCGTTGTCGTTCAGATCGACAACGTTGCAGTATACCGTCACGGTGGACGACAGCACCGGCACACCGCCATCCGTCGCTTGCACGACGAGGATGTAGTGCTGCACCTACAGATTTAATTATAAGATTTAATTGTACGGAGAACAAATGTAAAATGTAAAATGCAGATCTTTTTGAGAATTTATTATATTATTTTAAAAGTTTGCATAATGTAAAAATAAATTTTATATAAATTAACTACTACGTTCGGTACGTAGAAATTGCAAAAGAATTAACTTTCATCCCTATTACAAATCGCCCTGTAACAGGTCCTTTTAAGAACCGTATTTAAAGAACGTTTTGCAAGAACTAAAATGTTAGTTTCGGCGCGTGGTCGGTATACCGTGCTATTTCTTTGTTTCCGATGCGCTTCGCATACACGCACGCGTACACGTGTATTTCACGGTTCGTAATGACGTTGGCGTGTATCTGAAAGGGCATTACGTTGATGAAGGGTTCTATAAGCTACCCTTATCCCGTACCTCTCGCTTACGCTTTCCCTTCTTTCTTCTTTCATTTTCTTCTCGATAGAAGCTGCACCAACACGCATCTGTTCTATTGTAAAGCGCAAAACAGTGGCGTAGCCACCGCGGTTGGCACGAAAATAAGCGTATTATTATTACACGGTGATATTAATATCACCATTTGCCGATTAATGTAGAACATCAATATATATTTTATAGGAAGTAAAGCTAAATAAAGATTCAAGAGAACAAAAATTCTAATAGATAAAAAATGGCGTAAATTCACAGAATTAAAACACAGAATTATACAGAAAAATAGAAACTTTTAGGGATATTTCTTTTATACGATATATTGCTAAAAATTCTAAATGTTTTATATATTTGTATTATATATATCTATCGGTATCAATTTTAATAGAACATAATAACGGGAGAACAGGAACAGTTTAGAACAATATTTTTTTTATGACCAAAAAGCTATCACTTATTTACTAGTAAATAAGCGCTTGATAGCCAACGGCTAACGGCTTTATGTAAAAAATCAACGCTTTTCTTATAAAGTTAATAGGAAAATAACAATTATTTAAAACTCTCTCGCGTGTTGACAACTATTTTCCACCTGTGTACCCTATTTAATCAAATCGCGAAGTTTTTCCGCTTTGTAGAATTTTAGGACTTCGGTTACGCTACTGGCTACAGTCGACGAACGTGTACGTTCCCGAAAGTATGGCTAAGTATGGCTTGTCTCCGAAAATGTAGCACCGAAGAGACCGCCATTAAAGACTGTCTGTTCATCGATCTGTCCGACTGTTATAGCGTTAAACCCTAAATTCTAGCGTTGCCCTCCGCTCCGGGTAATATAATAGGTGCGCTCCAATCCTTGAATGTAGAGGCGTGTTCGTGGTTATAATCGCTGCCCGGGGCATCCGACGCGTTTTAACGTTATATACGCGTGCGTATTTTCAGTTCCGAGAGGTAGGCCGATCCGAACGGAACTTCATCCCGACCGAGCCGCCGTTAACCCCTTCGCGTCCAGCAACCGTTATGATGGACATATCTATAGCGATATATGTAAACATATGGCTTCAGAATCATCCGGCATTATCGTTCCAGTTCATGAGCATGCTCTGGTTCATGACTGCGATCATTTAACAGCGTCTTTTTATGTGGAATAATAAATAGAGACCGGGCAAGTCACGGCCATGTGTATGTAGAGAGAGAATCGTTGAGAAATCAAAGAAGAAATCGAAGTCTTTCGACGCCGAGGGACTTTGGTGTGTCCGTGAAGTTGAGATGAAAGTTCGGATGCCAAAATTAATATGTCGTAAAACGGATATTTATAATCCCTCACGGACTATTTATAATCATGAGAGGAAAGCGGCTCATGAAAAATTCAAATTTGCTTGTTAACAAATCCGAGAGGACCAATCAGGGAGGGTTGAAATCTCGTGTGACGTGTGATTTACTCATGATCGTTATTGACGATAACTTTATTTGCGTTACTATTTCGCTCGTGGTTGCCAAAGCTGACGCAGAATTCCACGCGGATTCATGAATTCATAATTGCGTGGAGACGATTCATGTAAAATTCAAATTTTTTGCTGTCAGTATAAATAAGGACCTTAATACGGCGAGGTCAAAATTGCGACGATCGTCACCGTAGATGGCTTTATTTACAACAGAATTCCTTATTATTGGGCGTGATGGCGCGTAGACTCCCTTGCCGGTACCAACCTGTTCGTAGTCGAGGCTCGCGGTGAGCGTGAACACGCCGGTGCTTGGATTCAGCGAGAACACGTCGTTCGCCCAGTCGGAGATGAGCACGTAGCTCAGATGGCTGTTGGGCCCCTCGGCGTCGACGTCCGTTGCTACGACCTGACCAACACGGCTGCCCCTCGGCACGTTCTCCGGGACATCGAACGAGTAGGCCGTGCTCTGGAAGGTCGGCGCGTTGTCGTTGGTGTCGGTGACCTGCGAACATCGGTTTTCGAGATTCTCTATTAGCACGACGATACGAGGCGCGGCCTGTTACAGTTACATTTGCCTTTATCATCTTTACATCGCCATGTAAATGAACAAAAGAAATATTTGTAGCAACAAAGATTTTAAGATAAAGAAATCCATGGTCGAAACGTCGTGACGATTATAATTAATAATGGCCAATTAGGTCAAATGGAGACCAATACTTTTATCTATAATTTTTAACACATTTTAATAAAAAATTTAGGTAATTTTTTAAAAAATATTGTAAAAAGGGTTGTGTTGTCTTGAAATTTTTGTTAAATGTTTATACATGTAAGGATTTAAGTAATTTTTTGAAAATATTATAGTAAAAGATCTCTTTTCTTGCGCGTTCCACGAAAATCCTTTATCTAGTGTTCAAACCATTCTAAGGGCTAAGTGCCTACTTCTCTTCCGAGAATTCCTCCGGGAGAGCTTTTTTTCTTCCAAGCCGTTTCAAAGGACACAGTGAGTTGCTTTCATTACGCGCGTCCCCGCGCGCCTTTCATCCCTCGCGTTTATATAATAATAAAAGCGGCAGAAAGGATTTTTACCGCGCGCACACCTCTCGTGTCCCTCGCGCGCCTCTTAATAGACCCGGAAGCCGGGTACGCGCGATCTTAAAATAAACACTCGGAGAGAGAGAATAAAATCGGCTGGAATGGCGCGCACTCGACGTCATTCTTGGATAAACACGCCGCCACCGGAAATATTCGCGCCGCGCTGCGCTCACTTCATTCGCCTTCGAATTATTGTGCTACCTCGCTCCCTCGCGCGCCGGTAGTCCCGGCGCGAGAAAACATTCTCAGGGCCCCGCAGGCTATTTATCCATGTAACAATGCGCTCATTGTGATCGATCGTCGCGGCAGCGGTGAAACGCGCGACGGAAAAAGACGGCCCTCTCTCGATCGAGGGCGAGAATAAATAGCGCTGGTAAACATCATTTTCATCGCGTGAAACGCTCTCTTCAACGTTTTTTCGCCAGTTTTCGCGACTATATTTTTCGCTGTTGAAAAAGAGATTCACACACACACACACACAAATTTCTTTGCTGTAATTCTACAATCGTCAAGTCATTCGTCACGCGTGACGAATGGGTTATTTTCAAAAAATTCACAACATAACACAAAAATTTTTCATAAAACTACTATTTGTCAACGAAAAACAACAAGTATAAAAAAATACTATTATAGAAACCGCTGCAATGCATTTAAAAATCAAATAATTTTTATAAATGGTTTAATTGGCCTGGACCACGATTGGAGCACATTAAAGTCATCGGCATTTCGTTATTTTACATTATTTTCCGCGCGACACCATGATGCCACTAGTTCTTTTTTTATCGCCTGAAGAGACCAAAATCGAAAGGCAAATTTCCGCAGATTTACATTTTTTACGCATTTTTCAAACTAAATAAAGTAGCGGCTTCTTTCTGTCTCCCTCTTTCTCTTTTCCTTCCATTTTTGCTTGCCAAAAACGCAAACGCGCAATAATTTAAACAACAAACGAAACATTAATCTGTCGTTTATACATGTAAATTATAGTCAGATATGCAAATTATATTATTCCCGTGTGACGACTATGTTCGCGGCTACCAACGCGCGCCGAATTTAATATGATTTAATTTATCTGTCAGAGTAAATCGAATCGGAATTAGACGATGAGATTTTCGCATGTTGTGCCATGTTAAAATATTTGCGCAATATCTGTAATTTGACTGCAACGTTAGTAAAAGATGATTTTATGTGCATTAATTATTACGTTTGGACTGATTGTGAGAGACAGTCTTTATCGCGCGCTATATATAGAGATTCAATAAAAAGGATATATAGGTACATATTACTAAAAGTATTAGTTGTATTTAAACTTGCGCAAGCAATACACTTAAAAATATGGATTAATATATATATAATTCAAGATTACAACCACCATTTCTTCGCAATAACGCCTCAAAGTTAATAAGAATAATTAAAAGAAGTAAAATATAACATGTATGCAGTTGCTACTAAAGCAAAATACATAGTCTATTCTTAGCAAATGCACTATGCTATTGCAACTCCGTCATTGTTTTGATAGCGGGATAAAAATTTGTTTACAATAAAATAATCTGTTATTAAATAATCAATTATTCCAGCAAAATATTCGAAGATTCAAAATAAAACCATGTTCAACAAGTAAAAGCAATACTATTAAGTTTTATGTTACTGTTCATTTAATGACTATAATGATATTTGCTATGATAATAGCATCAAATAGATTGAGCTTTCTTTTCAGTATGCAAATAAATCAATTATTTAAATTATTAATGTTTCTCACGTAGAAAATTAATGTAATTACAAGATAATACTAGATTGATATATCTCCCTAGAAATAGAGCTCGAGTATGCTCGAAACGTATCTAAGTTTTCCACGGGGACGGTCGCGCGGTGCGGTAGAATGAAGTGGGCACGGTTTGATTAAGGAGGGCTCGGAGACGTTTGCAAAAAGTGATGGTGTCCCGAGACGACAGTGGATGACGAGGAGCCAGCGAGAAGAAGGAAGAAGACGAAGAAAAAGGGACGGGATAAAAGAGGTTGGGCAAGAGACGCTTTGAGCCTCGGTGAAGGACCGAGGGATGACAGGGGGTACCAGACGGGGCCCAGATTCCGCGACCGAGACATGTATATAGTTCGTGAGCGACAATAACACACTTTTGCCGATGTTCTCTAAATGCGCGCGCGCGTGTGCGTGTGCGTGTGTGTGTAATTATATATAATTATAATAAAAAAGTAGATTATACTATTTATAACGCATGAAAGTTGCAGAGAAAAAACGCAATTGGCCTCGTTTCTCATGATGAATGTCACACTAATGATCTTATTGTTAGTCTGATTGCTTAAAATAATATTTGAATGTGTAATTAAGGAGAAAAGAACAAACTATGTGCACATCAAATATCGACCGAGTATATCAATTAATTTCTTATTAAATAAATATTATATGATCTCATAAACAAATGCATTTTTTGACGAATATTATAGATTACTTATTTCTTTTAATTGGTGTACGTCGTTTACGATTAAGAACCAACTAGAGCTCTTTAAATCAATTAGTTGTATTTTATATGTATATATATATACAAATAAATGTGACATAATTATATTATTGATTGCCAAGCGAAACTTGGTTTCTTCCGCTCTTTAAATAAGATATTTCTCAAATAATTGTATTTCAGGAATAAAGAATATAAAAAATATTTTAATTTAATATAATATATACGTATTATTCTCTGGCAATGTCGCCATTTTATTCTATCATAGTCTATTCTTTCGCGATGACTTCTAGTAAAAAGGAGTTTTGACGAGAAGAGGATAGCGGGAGAAGAATTAAAATAAAAAAAAGATTCTCAAGGGATCCAGGAAGATCGATCGAGGAAGAAATGGTTAAGGTTAGCGAGAGAAGAACACGGGCTAGGAAAAGAGGCACGCAGGAGGAGAGAGAATAGCATATATAGGATAAAATATAAAAGACCAGAAGGGGCAAATTTTGCAACACAGTCGGCCAACAGAGGGCGGAAAGCCCTTTTTCATGGAGCCTCGAGTTCTTCAAGTAAGAGTTTGGATCCAATTTACCATTTCCAGACTTATATAGTGCACTTTTCGAATACATTAAAATCAGTTTAGTATCTATGCAGTTTGTTAATGCAGAAATAAATTTAATTCAATAGTTTATATGTATAAATATTATTATCACTATATACATAAATTTGTAAAAAAAAAAAACCAATAGATAGATCAATTAAAAATTTTCTAAGCGGTATCCAAACTCTTACTTAAGGAACTCTAATGGAGTCCCGAAATTGTCGAGCTATATAACCGGATCTGACATTCCTCATTTTCTCTCTCTCTTTCTTTCTTTCTCTCTTCTACCTTTCAGAATAGAACAGCGGGCACGAGCACGCGGCGGGCAAAGCGAAGTCTTTAAAAGAATTTCAGCCATTACACATCATGAGGATAATTTTTGCGATTGTCTCCGACGGGGTCCCGACACAACTCGGCTGGCCCGGTGCCGGTGGTCGGGGTCCCTTTTCGGGCTTCGTTAAACGGTCGAATCCCGGGCCCAACTCGCGTTTTTTATCGCCACGAATCGTTTCGACCGAACCGCGTAATGAATTATAAGGCGGGACGCACGATACACTCCGCGCGTCACCGAGCACGCCTCGCAATAGCGCGCGCCTAGGGATCTGGGGGGGGGGGGTGAATGGAGGTGTGGATTTTGACTCACTTGATTTAAGTACTTCTAATGTGTATGTGTGTGTGTGTGTATGTATGCTAAAGGGAAAATATAATCTTTAAATAGAGTACAATTCTGAATACATTTTTGTGATTCTCTTAAAACGTATAAGATTAATAAAAAAATTTATTTCTTTTCTACATTTATATTAATAAAAGAATGTACAAATTTTTTTGTCAATATGTATCTCAATCCGTTATTATATTGAATGGCTGTCCGTTAGGCGTTAAGCGAGCGTTTAAAGATTAAGTTTATCTCATAGTCTGGTCAGCAATTCTGATTGAAATCTTGAGCTTTTTCACGATAGTTGCACGATTTATCATACTATTCTCTCTCTCTCTCTCTTTTTCGCGTTCTCTCGTTCTGATATTCTGGCGCAACCGATCCGTGCACGGGTCAATTTTTCTCGCGGCATATTTCGCAATGACGCAGAAACAAATTCGATCTTTTTCACTAAGGCAAGGGACGGGTGTGCCATTGTTGCATGCACGTGCAGAGCGAGTGTGTGAGCAATCCCGCATGGCGGGTCGCCAGGCAATCGTAGATTTATCTTTCGAGTGATGCCTGCGCGGGTACGCAATAGCGCAACATTGTTCTGCTTGAGATCGCTCGTTACGATAGACAGCGCTGACTTATGCGTACGGCATTATGACCGTACACCAAGACTTTCCTCGCCCCGCTGGCGTTTTCGTCTGATTACCGATCATTAATTGAAAAATATCAGATCTATCCGCAACCCTTTACCCACGCCCCGCGAAATAGTTCGAAATAGTATA